TTCATACTAAATTTCATGCATGTATAAGTAAGGTGGATGCTAAGGTGAAAAGCTGCTACGATTCAGACGGCTCCATCCTTGCAATTTGGGTCTTGCACCTTAAAGAGCTTCTGCCAGGTAACTTCTGCCTGAAACTTAGGCTGTGTGTACAGAAACTGGAATATAATTAATATAATTCTATTATCCATGAGAAAATTATGTAAATTATGGGTTATGTGGGGTCAGCTTTGCTGTTTTTATTTTTTTTAACCCAAACCCCTGGTTCCACAAAGTATGGCTTCCCACACTATCTTTTGCTGTCGTGGGGCTGCCCTTGTTTCTCCCCAGAAATCCATGCACACATTTTTTAGAAGGTGCATGTTTCAAATGTATTCCTGTAATTTCATTTATGAGATTTATTTCACAATTTTATTCCCTTTATCCAGGCTACCTTTTCCCTCTCCCTGCTATTACTTGACTAGCATAAGGATCAACTGTTGTTACAATAAATATTCCACGTTTTAGACCTTTTGATTGAAAAATCCTCCCTGGCTTTTGAGCTTTGGGAATTCTGTAAGTACGGTGGGGGAAAGACATATTTTAGTATTATTGCATGGCAACAGCACTGCAAGTAAAATAGGGGATGGAGGCAGAACAGAATCCTCACCTCCTCTGCAATCACACTGTTAAACACTACCCATGGGCTTTGAAAACTTAGAAGACAATGCACAACCTGACTTTTTTGCTGTCCAAGTTGAACCCAAGATAAGCTAACAGAAAAAGGCATGAATGATGAACAGTGTCAAAAAGCAACACAGTTAACTGACACCATATATTTTTAAGAATTTTCTGTGGACAAAAATAAGCTTCTCAGTGTTTTGTTACACATGACTGCGAGTCTGGCAAAAATCACTGAATGCGTTTGGACAAACACAGAGCTTCAAAAAAAAAGTGGTAGTATACAAGGAAATCTACCAGGACAGAACACAACCTTAGAATCTGAAATGACAGCGGGGGAAAAAAACCTTTTTGATCTGCCCCAGAGGAACACTGATAACTCACATGAAGTTCATGCTTCCCATTTTGAACATACCAAAGTGACAGTAAATAGCACACATAACGCTGATATTCTTTAATCGTTGACATGGCTGAGAAATAAGTAGATTCTCAGAAAGAATTCAGCCTATGTACTGCATAGGAGTGTAGCTTTGATGAATGGTTCAAGTTAGGCAATTTTTGTAATTAAAAAGAACAGAAGAAATAGAAACGCAGACAGATTAAGTGGCCTGACAGACACCATAGATAAGATCAGTGGACAAAAAGCAGGGTTACTGCTCGAGCCCTGGCTCTGTGTTTAATACATTCATCTCGACTGCATCATTTACAACAACCCTTCTGTTTCGTTGTCAATATTTGCAAAAACATCAGCCTTAGCTCCTTAAAAAGGCTCTGAAACACACTTAGTTTACATGGTTTAAGAGACCACAATAGGGATCAAAGGGAACGTTATTTAAGCAGAACTTCAGCAATCCCAAGCCCAGTCAATCACAGGAACGACCACAATTCCAGAATATTCTCAGTAACAAATTCACTGTAAGGCTTTAGCTCCACAAGCCCTGAACACCAGCATAAATCTTACACTGCCTCTGAGTGCTTCTGCCCCATGTTCAGGGAGGCACATGGGGAGCCAGATTGGAGAATCACTCCAGCTGGAAACCAACAGAACAAACTTACACTGATTATTTTCAGCCCAGATTTTCCTTGACTTTACTTACTGCCTGGCTGCCAAAAAACGTTTCTCTTGCCAAGGGGGATGAGAAAACAAGGACAAATGCAGTAAGAAAAGCAACATCTTTTTTCCCCTGTAGGAGCAACAAGTTAATGCCAGTGTAAAGTATTGACACAGCCATGCACTAGGTGAGGTAAGGTGCTCGCTCCTGCCCTCTCCCTTGTGCCAAGGCAGCTCTTTTGCTGGCTGGAAATTAACCTGTTTGCTGAATGATTCAGTCTTAGGAAACCCTTTCTGCTATTTACTTTTTTTTTTTTTTTTTTTTTTTTTTACTGAGATGGTTTCAGAGAGCTTAGGTAGACAATAGCACCATACAGCACTGTGCCGGCAGACCTGAGGGAGCCTCTCTGGGAACACAAGAGTTCATTTAAACCAGACCTGCATAGATGCCAGCGTAACAGGACCAGTCCCAGAAAACATCTTAGCTCAAAGGGGCCGATTATTCTCAAGGACAGATTTTGTAAAAGAAAGAAAAAATAAATCTCTATGTGCAGACAGGTATATTTTAATTTCTAAAATGTAAAGCTGAATTTAATGTTTTTCCAAGATTTTGTACCTTTCGTTTCATCTTCCTTCCACTCCCTGACACTTTTTGTGTGTCCCAAATATGATTAATGTCAGACACGCGAACAAACATGCCAGAGAGTTGGAAATGAAACATTTAATTTACTTTTAATTTATTGTATTTTAATCACCAAAGGAACTAGTCCATGTCAGCCCCCTGACAACATGCTGTAATTATTGCACTCAACCATGTATATTTAGCTTATTTGTTTGCTGTTACTCATAACTTAGATGTTCATGGACAAGGCTTTCTGCCGGCTTATAAAGAAAAAAGGAGAGTGCAAAAAAGCTGACTGTTTCCTGCAGAAATAAAATAGTTTCTGCTACGCCCTGATCCAAGTTTTATAGTCCAGATGGGAGGTCACGACACCTCTTCAGGTTCAATTTATGCTCCTCAAAGCCTCAGAAATGTTGCTACAGGCGCCAGGAATTTGCCTACAGAGCCAACTCCAGCTCCAGCGATTGCTCCTCTGGTTATGTGGAGACACCAATTTACACTCGAGTACTTTTTTGAGTGTAACTCTTGCTACGAAGTGTTTGCGGGCATTCCTGGCCTCAAATCAAACATCCCAGGCACTAAGCAGCACCGGACGCGTTCATTACATTGTTTCGGAGACGTACAAATTAGTTTTACTGCCCTCCATAAATGCCTATTTGGAGGAGAGAGATGCCAAAGCGTTCCCTAAAGCCCAGGTCCGTTGTGTTTCTGGATGTCCAGGCACTGCACCCCGCTCACGGTGCGAACGCTGCTCAGCACACGGCCGAGCTGGGCTTTCCTTGGGAAGACATCGAAGAACGGTGTGTAAAGTATCAAGGAGGAAAGAAAAAAGTCATTTAAGAGCAGCTGCTCTAGCGCTTGTGCTGCTGTTGGAGCTGCAATTAAAGCCAAAACCCCACAGAAGCGGCCAGGGGACCTCGCAGCGCCACAGCCTCCTGACCGCGCCTCCAACAAGCGCCAGGCGCCTCCGACGCGTGCAGGCAGAAAGGCGAGGCAGGAGGCTCCCGTCGCTACTGTTTGTCCTGCTGCCTGAACACAGGTGTGTAATTAAGCGCAGGCATATAATTAAGCACCGACACGTGCATATTAAGGCAGCAAAGCAGCGGCTCACACCTCGCTCCCAACAAACCCCCCGTCCCCAGGCACCACGTCCTTATCCCCCCACCTCCCCGGGCAGCCCGTCGGAGCAGCTCGGTTCCCAGCGCTGCTCTCCCATCACCTTTTCGTGCCTTTTGTGCCTTTTTATGCTTTCTTTTGTCGGCAGCCCGGCTCGCAGGTGCCTCCTTTCCCCCCCCCGTGTCGGGACCCACCGGCAGCTCCACGCTGACGTCGGTGCCGTCGAGCAGCGCCACCCTGCAGGTGAGCACGGCCCTGGCCTCGCCGGCGGCGGGGATGTGCGTGGCTGCGCGCTGCGCCTCCCGCAGCCGCTCCCGCTCGGCGTGCCGCCGGGCCGAGCGCCGGCCCAGAGTCCGCCGGAAGAAGCTCAGCATCGCTGCGGGAGTCCTCACTCCATGGGAAGAAAAAAAAAAAATGGGGGAAAAAAGGGGGAAAATGGGAGCGAGACGCGCCGCCCGGCCGGCGGAGCAGCGCCCCGCGTCTCCCGCCCCCCCCCCGGGGGAGCCGGGGCGGGCCTCAGAAAATGGCGGAGCGCCGCGGGAGGGGCTGGAAGCAGCGAGGAGCCCGCCCCGCTCCGCCGCACGGCCGCGCTCACGGCTCGGCCCCGCTCGGCTCGGGGGTCCCGGAGCTGCCGGAGGAGGCAGGAAGGGAGATGGGGGAGCTGCTGCCGGGAGGAGAAGGGAGGAGAAAGGGGAGGCGCACGCCCCTTTAAGGAGGCGGAGACGGGAGGGCCCCCCCCGCCCCCAGCCAGGTGGTTGCGCCCGGCGGCGGGCGGCGGGGCGCGGCGCGGCCCATGTGGGGCCGGGCGGGGGGCGGCCAAAGGGGGCGGGGGGCGGCCCCCAGGCCTCGGTGCCCACAGCCCACCAGGAAGGGTGTGGGGGAGCTCCCTGAGGAAACCTGCCTCACCCTAGTCTAATTAGTGAGGAAAACGTGCGGTTAGCACGGAGGGTGTCAGATAGGTGTCCTCCCTCTAAAAATTGACCACCCCAACGAAGGACAGGGTGGTGGCTCTCTCTTCAACTCATCCCTCATGAGATGCTTTGCCTTGCCCCCTAAATCCTCTCATCTTCTTTTCCTACGTCTGGTTTGAACATTCCCGCACTTTTTTGGCAGCAACTGTTCATCACAATCTTCCATCTGGCATTTTTGTTCTTCACACCGCTAGCCCCCACTTTTGGCACCAGGCTCTAATCCCTACTGAGCACTGCCTGAAATCCTCCCTTAAAAGTTACATACACGGCCCTGCAAAAGATGACGAGAGTTACTCTTCCATTAGAGCAAAAATTATGGTATATATTTTCAGGTAAAAACCATGGACTGACACTGTCATGCATATTCTATAATCAAGCAATTTCACTTCTGTTAATTTCACATCCTCCACTAGTGCTCAGTGCAAACATACAAATCCTCTCTAAAGGAAAGCAAGACTGCATTTATGGAATACAATGTCAAAAAAAAAAAATATGATGAACATTATCTGGCATCAGAACTGTATAAAAGCAGCAGAGTAAAACCATGTGTACAGCAGCACAAAAATAAAAAAAATAATTAAACTTTAAATTACTAAAGCACATCTTTATTTTGCAATTAAACAATTAAGATCCACAAGTAAACTATATATATATTTTCAAGTCTGTACCTAGACAACTATTTGTCAACTGAAATTAAATATATCCACAAAATATGCATAACAGCATTTTTTCACATAATAGAATGAAATTTTACTTAAGACTAAAACAAGACTTGTTAAATGTTAATTAGCATATTTATTCTGGGAACTGCTGGTTTTTGGTAGAATGTTAGTGTATCGTTTTAATGGCAAGAAATTTCATTTTATCAAAATGAGGACAAATACATAAGGCCCTTTAAAGCATACAGTAGCTGCAGTGACAAAAGCTGAATTCATTTTCACATTGTCCAGTGTTGACCAATTTCAAGTTTCCATTGTTTTCAATCAGCTACCCTGGCGATTTAAGCCAAGATGTTGTGTTTTAAAGTGTCCCCCCACCCCGCCATGTGCTTTTAAACAAATTTATAGGCAAAAGTCTGCTTACAGGAAGAAGCTTCCCACCCTCCCAACATTAATAAAGATACACAAGAGTTAGTCTAAACAACAAAAGCTATTCAACTCTGAGATGATTTACTTCACACTTGTCAATCATTGAGCAGTACGAAATGGAGATGAAATTTGACAACTGAAAGCCACAGCTGGAAATGCAAATTAATTACCAGAAGTAACTAGCAAAAAATATTGCCACCTCCTGATTGTTAATAATGATCTAGATAATATTCTTCCCTTTGTATTTACAGATAGTATAGCACCTGTTACAGAAAATAAAACCCCAAACCTTACACAAACAGCCCTGCCAAATTGACTGGTTAAAATGGGATCACTGGTAAACGAACCAAACCAAATGGAATAAAATCTGAGTACATAGGGTAAAACAAAAACCTTGGTTTCCTTAACTTACTTTTCCTGTAATATTATTATGGGTTGTTACTGTGGTGCCCCAATGTACTGAGATAATTGCACTGGGTAGTTTATAGCCTAGTCTTTGTGGATACATCCTAGTTAAAGAAAACAACAGCTTAATGTAAACTGTTTACCCCTTTCACTCATGTCTTAGGCCCCTGGCCTAGGAGTAAAAGCATGACAACTTCTTTAAGCTCTGTTGTGCATTATCTTTAGTTATCAAAATTCAAATAAGTTAAGTAAAAAAAAAAATACTGATTTCCAAGTAATTGATCTAATGTTAAAAATAATGCTTAGCAGAACCACTTACAGTAAACTTAGCTAATCTGCAGCTAGCTGAGAGAGATCACAGAGATAAATTTATGAGTACCCTGTAGTTTCCATTCGCTTTTTTTTTTTTTTAAATACAAGCTCTATATTGTTATGACAGGAAAATTGAGGTGACATATTATTAATATCTGTTTTACGAAAGTCCCTCAAATACATGAGCAATAAACCAGAAATGGTTGGAACAGAAATCATTCGTACCAGGGTGTAATCCAAATCATCTCTGTACAGAAACCCATTAAGCATCTCTCTCCAAACCCAATTTATTTTGTCCAATAGTTCAGTCAGTAGTAAGCATGAGATAAAGTGCTACCATTCAAACATCAAAACACTTTGAAAAAAATCACCCTTTAAAACACATAAGCTTGCTAAATATGAAATAACACAACCAGCAAACTGTCAGCCAGTCTGCGAAACCAAAGTTCATCTTACAGCATACTAGAACGACCCCAAAAGTACATGCCTCTTACCAAAAATGCCATTTTTTTTTTAAAGTAATTTCTCCCAAAGTTTTGCCAAATGAGCTCTCAATGAGCAAAACATGCCAAAGTAAGCAGCTGGAGCTTGCAGCTTGTGCACTAGTTAAACTTGCAGCTGGAGAAGCCCAATTAACTGTGAAGATGCACAACTGTGCTAGCAACTAGGACAGAGGTAAAGTCCAGTGATGACAAACTAGCCTCCTTTGCAGATTGCTAAACTAAAAAAATATCTATATAATTTTTTTTGTCTTATAACTGCTGTGAGTTAAATGAGATTGGACAAAATGGTTGTATTAAAACAAATCAATCCTTTTCCTCTTGTAACAGCTTCTCAATCACCACTAACCAATCTCTGCAATTTCATGCAAGATCCACATTTAATCAATGACTATATAAATATTTACCAGATTTTTGTATTTGATCCCAGCACTAGAAGTGGCAATGGAAAAGAGTTTTTCCAGTCTCAAGACTGGGTATTTAAGAAAATACTCCCAACCACCTGGGGACATATGTGCTATAAAAAGACTTACATAAGTGACATTACAGGGCACCATTCCAGTACTTTGTGCTAATCCAAATATGCAGAATTTGAATATGGACCATATTCCAATTCCTCCCTTTCCCCTCAGGGCTGAGGGTCTTTCAGATTGCCTGAGTAGTGGCTCTACAGTCACAACTACAGTGCGTGTATTGGACAACCTGGTTTCGCTTGGAGATTTGCGGATGGTGGATCTGTAGTTTTTCATGCTCATGCTAATTCCCTGAGCCATCAGTCACCCACACACCTACACAAGCATAAAAATATCACGTAATTCAGCTCCACGACACACCTGGAGCTCCAGTCTCCCTATGCATGACCTCCTCTTCTTCCCATCTCTCTGGGCAGTGCAACTGCAGCAGCAACGCTGCACGCTGGCCCTTCCACGGGTACCACAAAGCTTTTTGGAAGCTCTCTATGGAAAGTTGCTGGGTTCCATATCAAACACCTCATGTTCCTTAGTCTCCCAACTGCCTTCTCACCCTCTCTCTCATAGATGGTGTGCTAGAGTGTAATCAGCTATACTAGATGAAGCGCTGTTGTTTTATCTGTAAGCTTCCAAATTGAACAGAAAAAATGCATGAAAAAAAACGTCAGTTAGCATTAAACGTAGTCTGATACAATCAAGCTCTTTTTCATAACTAGGAGAGAACATATAAAAATTAAATGCATAAAAGCAATGGGTTACTGCTTAAGACAAGCACATTATTTAAAATACCAATTGCTTCTAAGTTTAGGACAAATTAAGTCTGCAGCTCTCAGTTGTCTGTTACACCTAATGCAGTACTTCTCAGAATGGATTGGCTGACAATCTGCAGGTGATTTATAAAACGATACCTACATCTTATTTCATATTTAGCAAAAATAAAAAATGCCCCCAAAGCCACACAAAGCCTTCTCTAGAGCCCCATGTTTTTATACTAAAAAAAAAACCCTTCAAATCCACTTTAAACAAGATGGTAGTGGACGTTTTCAATTTAAACCCAAAAGGAAAACAAAAACCTTGACATTATAAATTGGCAGAAAACTGTCATAATATTGCTCTTATTTACAATGAAAACTTCATTTCTTTTTAAAACTGGATTTGTATCATGGAAGTGTTACAAACATACTCTTTCTCCCACCCACCCAGCATTTTTCCTAATCAAATGGTATGAAAATAATTATTCATAAAATCCAACAGTCATAACACCAATCACATATAGGTCATTTTGTCTGAAAGATACATTCATGTTTTGTACAGCATGAAACATACAAAAACTTCTTTAAAAAGTTTGAAGGATGATACAGATCTTCATAACCCAAAGTAAAATCTTTAGCAGTTTAGATTTATTTTTTTTTTTTTGGCCATATAAAAATATTTGAAAGGCCATTTATACCACAACCAGTAGAAACATTTGAATGAATGATGTATGGTGCAGGAAGGCTTCAGTGCAACTTCTCTTTCCCAATTGGTTTTTGGTTACCACTCTGCTTTCCAGAAGCCCAAACGCCCCTGATCAGCTGATGAGCAGTTATCAAAGAAGAGTTGCTTTGCTCCAATTTCTTTCCCAGTGCAACCAGTTAATGCACGCCAACCCATCAGCTTAAGTCAATGCAGAGGAAGATTCTGAAGAGACCTGTTATACTTGCCTGTATTTGTAATCAAAACAATAATGACAGACGACCAATAAATATCCCACACAATTGTGGTATAAATGGGTCTTTTGAACTCAAACTGCTTTGGCAACTTCACATTTTAAATATGTGACATCTCAACACTAAGCAATGTTGCTATAAACTTAATTTCTTGTTCCCCTCAGAGAAAAAAGGGCAAATGCTATTTTCATTTACAATTTGACTACGAAGAAAATTTACTTCAGTAGATGAATGAATTATTTTAATTTGTTGACATTAAGTGCTGAGTTTAAAATAACCTTCCAGCTAGCTGGCATCTCAGCTAATATCATTGTATGCAAGTTAAAGCTTAAACTTTACTAAAGAAGACTTTTGTTGTTGTTGTTGCAAATGGCTTAAAATAAAACTGAGATTAAAGCTACTTTATCACTCTTTTTCAATTTGTCAGATCCAGAGATTCTTGTAAGATTCATTTTTCACTGAGGAATAATATTGATTTAGGCATCAAATCTAGAAATATAAGTAACAAGGCCACAGGCCATCTAATATTATATTGTTTTCTAAAAATATTTAAAACTATATTTTCCATTTGGCATTGTGGTTCATGTTTATTACTAAGTCGTAAGCCAGGATTTCACTTTGCCTGAATCCCTTTTCACTTAATATTTCATAGCTGATCTCTTTCAATGTCCATAGAACACAGTATATTATATAATATAATTCTTCAATAGTTAAAAACTTATTTAGTGTAGAACTTTCCATTTTAATTCTATGCTCTATATAGCTTATAACAAAATTTACTGGATAAACATTTTCAGGAAACCAATACAATAAATTATTATTATTTTTTTAAATAGAGGGCACAAAGTTATGCTGTTGCAGGGCAGTCAAAGAAGTGACTGATTTTTTTTTTTTTCTTACAGTATATTACAATGGACACCTTGCTTCTGACTTGGTTTCTCCTATACTGGAAAAACATATATATATATATATATATATATATATATAAAACGTCCCAATTTTTAATATCCTTAGAGTGAGCTCAGATACTGTATCAGACAGATATTCATTACAAATCTTCTACCTACTTAAATAAGAAGCAACCCATATCAACTGGAACAACTTTGCACAAGCGTAACAGAGGGCGACTGGGGTCGTTATGGAATTAAAGTTCTGGGACAGCATTATAGTGTTCTCTTTCCTCACCCCCCACCCCCCAAACAATTAGAAAAATAAAAGGCAGACCTGTACGAACATGGCTTGAAATCAACTATGAGGACTTAAAGAATAACTGGTTAGCAGATAATGGAATTAAATCACATCTGATCGTAAGTTCAACTTAATTATCAGTGCTATTAAGGAGTTATGTTCTAATTGAGCAAGACAGCTATTCTCAATAAAAGGATAAAACAAAGTATCAGCTTCTAATGACCTACTAGCATTTCATAGTAAGCTGCTAGTAAGTTACTAGTTGAAAGGAATGTGTCAGATTTTTCACATAATTACAACACAGCAGCAAATGATGCTCATTCATTAAGTTGGCAGAGGTGCTTTTGCTACTGAGTGTAGCACACAGGTACGTGTATAAGGAAAGAGGGAACGGTATTTCCATGACCCCTTGCAGTAACATATTCCAAGCACCAAGGGCTGTTTTTAAAATCTGAACCCATTAAGATAAATATGACAGGACAAGACCACCCCCCACAGAATCATGAGTGCCTTTCACTGGATGTACGCTGTAAGTCTCAAGGCACTTAAGGGGTTAAGACAATGCATGCACTAGTTCCCATCACGTAATCTTAAGTCACATGAATCAGAATACACCAGTGTATGACACACAAGCTGTGTCAAAGAAATGCTGTTTATTTTTTTTTAATTTTTATTATTATTGTTTTTTTCCTTTTTTTTTTTCCTTTTTTTTTTTTCTTTTTTTTTTTTTTTTTTACAAGATGCTGGTAAGTGGGCATTATGCAGCTACTGCTGGGTTAACACAGATGCCAGCTTTCCTCTAACAACCAGCTGGTCTCTAATAAGGGTGTAGGACAGTGTGCTGCATCAGTAGGCAGTGTGTATCTATCTAGTATCGGCAATATTGCTAATGTTGTAAAAAAACAAAACAGTGAGAGTCTGTACATAGTAAATAAACCTAGCACTGGAGAAAGACCATGGCTTAGTGTATTTTTTCATTTGTTTTCCATTTTTAAGAGACATGGGTGTAAAACAAAGTGAAATAATTCCAAGCCTTGTTTGTAGCAATTCAACCAGAAGCGCAGTATATGGCACTACAATGAAATATCGTAGATTACCCTGAACACGATTAGTTCTTTCAGTTTGTGGTTTGTTCGGAGCAAAGCACGAAAATAAAGTCTTCAAACAGATGAAGGTTAGAAGAGTTTCAGAGACTGATTTTGTTTCAACATAAAGTGCAACAGTGCTGAAGTTTTCAAAGTCCTTTGTCAATTCTTTGCCGTACTTCACTATCATTTCCTGCAAGCAGTATTATGGCACAAAGAATGCTGCCAGTTCATTATACAGAGGACAGGATTCCTCAATTGATATCCTAGGGTTTTTGCTCTTTATTTATGCGGTGATGCTTGTAAAGGTTTAATAAATCCTTCTTCGTACACCTTCAAAATAGCTTCACATACAAATCTGTATTGACTCTGAAAAGGAAAGCAGATTCAATTAATTGAAAAGAAACAGACTTGAGACATGTCCTTTGGAAGTAGGAAAGGCCTCTAGTATTTCCAACCCTATTTCCTTGATGGTCTGAGAACTGTGCTTCAAAGTTAGTTTAGAAAACACAAAACAATAGAGACAGTGTATTAGAACTTGAGAAACTTCTTTCTTGACAGAAGAGTGGAATGAATAGCACTTTGAAATATGTAACTGAAGTCACACCCACAACACCAGTCCTGTTCTTATAACATCACTTCTTCAGTAATTTTCTACCCTTCATTTCATTACTGAAGTTTCACTGACCTAGCCTTTCCACGCACTTAGCATTTAGAAGACATAGCAGCATCTGTACCTGGCACTATCAACTTCTAAAGCATTTCTTCATACTTACATTAATTCTGCCACGTTACTGACATCTCTCAAAATTTGATGAAAAGTGTTTCATGTTGAAAAAAACAAAACCCAATTTCTTAACATTATGTAATGTCTAACTCTACACACATTCAAGTTGAGCACCAGCATATGCGGAGGCCACTGATATCTTGTTTTAAACATATAAATAATACAAATAATAGTTTTAAAAAAAAACAACAGCAACCAAATTCAAATAGGATAAAAATAAAAGAAAATAAAAATCACTGTTTTGTAAAGCACCAGAACTAGTGGTCAACAAGTAATTGTTGACATCTAGTCTTAAATGGGCACAGTAACAGATTTAGTAATAGAATTTCTATATTTTATTGTTGCATATGTATTAATATATTTGAATTCATACTTATTTGTGGAACATATGCATTCTGCCTCCAGTGCTCCCTAATGGAGCCTTTCCAAATTCTCTTCCTATAATAAGGATACAGGGGAATCATGCATGGGGCCATCTTGCGGACATTAAGTGAATCTTTCAGGATATACAAAATCGGGAAGAGACATCAAAAGGAGAAATTATGATAGATATTGTTTATTATACCCCCCCTCATTCTGAACACATTTGTGTTCCACTGCAGATAGAACATGCTCTTTTTTTTGAGTAGAAAAACAAAACAAAACAAAAAGATATTTAGCACATTCGGGGCGGGGGGGGGGGGGAATGTAGTTAGAACCCTGTACCTCCCCCCTTTACTAATAAAAGTCTTTTCCTCTCTATGTATGCTATAGAGATGTACAAACTCAATTTTTTTTTTTTTTATTATTTCCCCCTTACTCAAGTCATTACGGGATGGTGTGAAGTTTTGTTTTCATTATTACTAGGGTAACAAAATCACCAAATTGCACCAATGAAGGTTTTTTCTTGCATGTTTTAGGTCTTTCTGTGTTAGACTTTTATATTATTTCCACTTCTAACTTTTGGAATTATGCTCCTGCTTTCTCTATGGAACAATTTGAAAACTACTGAAAATTGGCCCTTTTTGACAGTAACTGACAGATAACCCTGAAAAAGCCACAGCTTTTTCCCAAGTTGTTTTTGTAGAAATTTTAAGACTTGCTCTTTTCCAATAACTAGAGCAATTTATTTCCAGATAAGCCACAGCTGCAGCTACACTGGGTAAAGACGCCTTCTTTGAGAAATGATAAACAACAAGTATATTAAAATATGTTTAATGATACAACTAAATAATATGAAATTATTCTACAACACAGAAAAACAAGTATGACACTCACAGGTGTTTGGATCATCATGGCCCTTTGATCTCTCATAGTTCTTACAATATCTAATGGATAAACAGGCTGATTGCACTCAATGAGACACATTGCTGTCTCCATAGTGATGAGAACTCCTGTCCGTCCAATCCCAGCACTGTAAAAACAACAAAAAAATAAAGTATCAGAAAGATGGTTCACATTTAAAGGCCACATTTTCCTAAATGTTGTATAAACCACCCCACTGAACTTAAGACCTTCCTTCTCAAGGATTCTCATGACTGAGCTTTACAATAACAGGGGTTAGACGGACTGGGTGTCACTGGAAGCTTCCATCCTGCCTGAAAAGAGCAAAAGGCAGTGCAGAACTGTCAATCCTCTTCAGAGAATTAACAGTTCTTAACCTAGCCTTTAACTAACAGAATCTACAAATATATTTATTCATTCAAAATATTGTTTTGCAGTTTTAAAATAGAATGTTCCTGCATACTTGAATATAAAACCAAATCTGTTTTTTCAGACATCACCATTATCTCAACTCATACAATTATTAATTTAGAAGCAAACTTTCATTTACTGACAAATAATTAGTTAATATAAACATTGTCTTTGAAACTTAATTGTTCTGATTTTGAAGCATAATTTCAGATTAAATCCAGCCAAACTACTGCTTTAAGTTTTTGTCCAGAAGGTGGCATCAAAGCTACTGCATATTTCAGTGATGTCATGAAAATTTCACGACAAGATGTAAATGTACTGGTTATATAAAATTACTCCACAACATTTTACACCTCTAGAATTTATACATACAGAATCTGTATGCAGAATGCACCATGAAATGCAAGCAGGAACGGTATTTGTCAAAGAATCTTTAACAATTCGTTTTGCAATGTCAAAAGATCCAGATAAGGGCAACAATAAGGATGGAAAGTATGATACAGTTTCCATATGATAAATATCAGGTGAGCTAAGACTCTTCAGCTTAGGAAAAGAAACCATTGCTTGATGGAGTGGAACACTGAAACTTAACAGAAGACAAGAAAATCATGAATGGCAGGAACAGGGTGGGTGGCCCACCATCTCTTACAGAACAAGAATTAGAAACTGTTCAGCTAAACTGTTAGAAGCCTTGTTAAAGTAAAAACAAAACAAAAATAAAAGCTTAGATGCAACTTTGCAGAACTTGCCAAAGGCCAGGAATGCAGGAATTCAAGAGCTCAGAAACAAGAACACAAATGTCTTTGGAAAAGAAAGGCACTGGAGCTGCTATGCAGAAAAACGTAACAGGTTCAGTAACTTCTTTAACTTGAAACGTGCTGGAATCTGGGCAAGTTACATGGCACAAGCACCATAAAACCTTGTTAGGTTCTTAATTTTCCTGAAGCATCTATTTATGATCAGTGATCCAAACAGAACGGAGTACATTCAGCCTTAGTTTGAACAACATTTCTTTCTTGAAGTACATTCTGTGCTACACTTGTTTTCCTCTAAAGGCTACTGAGAAAGGTGCCATAGAAACATATTTTTGTTAAAAATACAATGCTTACAGTTAAGATTCACTCACTCCCAAAGTTTCTCATCTCAGTACTCTTCTACAATGGCAAATCTCAAAAAAACACTAATCCAGAAGAAAGTCACCAATTTGTACAGGGAATAAAGATTGTTACACCAGAGCATCCTTTCATCAGCACTGTGTTCGGGCTATATGGATTATAAATTGTTTAACCACTCTCAGTTCAGTCAGAAAACTTGTTGGTAGCACTGAGAACTCAATGTAATCAGAGAAGCAATAGTGATGAACAACTTGAAAATGAGTGTTTTAAAGTATCTTAACATAACAAAAACCTTCAATATTCTTCGGATTTGTGTTGCTTTACAATCATTTTTTTTTCCCATTTTAAACTACTCTTGTATGATAGAGGAGTCTTTTCTATTTTTTAGATTTAGATTTTTTTGGATTCCCCATACTACATGTAAAACTGGTGCCTCAGGTCTAAAACCAAACTTGACCGTTTTGGTGCTGTAACATCTAGTCCTCTTATACTGAGCAGTACAAGCTAGTAAAAATAGAATGCAAACACCATGCAGAAGAAATCCTGGGCTCCTTCAGCTTGATCTTGCTAGTGAAATTCAGTTATATTTCCCAACAGCCATCAAGCTAGGACTATTAAGTAAATTATGCCAAACTGTGGTATTCTTTCCTTTTTTTCCTGAGAGACATGAAATTGTTTTAAATGTTGATACTGAAATTATCACAGTGGAGCCAAGTTGATACCTCACTGAGAGGAATGAAATTGTTCCTAAACTTCAGTGTCTCTGTAGACTTGCACACTTTGTACTGTGTTAATGAAACTATTTGTTCAGAACTGTATCAACCAAAATACAGCAATAATGAAATTGAAGAAAAATATCATTTTGAGACACTGGAATTCTAGCAGTGCCTATCGGTTTTCCCTAATTCAGAAGATTTACCCTGACCAACACAAAACAGAAAAGATAGCCAAACCAATTAAAAACAATTTCTGATAGACAAAGTCATAAAACAGTAGTGATCATAAGCAAGCTTCCTAGGTATCTTTCACCATCTCCTTGAATTACACAAACTACTAGCACGAGCATTTAACTTAAACAAATCAATCCCCACCTAGATTCATGGATGTAGATACCCCAAATTCTGCTTATTTAAAGTGATTACAACTGTAAGAAAAAAGAACTGTTTAATTCAAAGGTTGAGTTCTCCTGTAATCTGTGGATACACTTAAATGCTTATTTGAACAACAAAGCACAGAAATAGTGTTTGATAATAATTAAGTTCAATTTTGTGATTTAGCAAAATTGGAGGGAAAAAAAAGGGATACCTGCAATGAACAACAACAGGTTCTTCTCTGCCAGCCCGCTTCTTTCGCACCAGACACACAAAATCTAGGAAATCACTGGAGTCATCAGGAACCCCATGATCAGGCCATGCTATATACTGAATTTGGGTCAGTTGGCGGCTTTCCTCTTTCTAATCAGAAACATAAGATTTATTGAAGGGTAACTCAAGTTCCATGGAGGGGAAAACAAACAAATAACTAAAAAGCAATGATAAATTTACATCAACTTGTGCCTATAATAGATGTAGCTTCTGGAAACTTTCAGTTAATTTTTGCTCATTGTTGATTTTACAATTACATTTTTTTTGTTAAAAACAAAAACAGCAGGTTAGATACAAACAGTCTATCTAAACACCAGATGTTTGTGTTTAAAAAAAGGTAGCCAAATCTTTAACAAAAATTTAGCAGACAGAGGTACCGTCTCGCTAGATCAAATGGCAGCACAGGAGTAGAGAGAGGACTGGACAAGACTTCCAGGCATGAAAGCCTTCCTTCGGATTTTGTGTGAACACCAGTATTGTGTTGGATTTTTATCTGCACCTCTAATTTTATCCAGCTTACTTCACAAGATGCAGAATGACTTGGTTTTCCACTCCCACCCCCTCGCTCGAATGTCACAAACGTATCACATGCCTCTGGTGAGCGGAGGGGGCAGGCCGTACAATCAGAGTAAAAGCAGCATTTCAAAGAACAGAAGAAGTTACAGTATGTTAAATAACCCTTTGGCATGGAATCATTTACAGAGCTTCCACTACTGATAATAAATGAGCAATTGTCTCAACAGCATACAGGAAAGGAATTTTAACTGCAAATTGACTAAAAGGAAGTTCTATAAAACTGGCATCTCATCTGGAAATCCATGTAGCAAGAGACAAGTACATGAACTGAACTCCAGATAACCATTTCCAAACATTTCTGAAACTGAAATGCTGACTGGCAAAGCTCCAGAAACTACACATTCCCTCAAACTCCATGCTATGCATGTTCAGTCTGGGAGGTCCTGGTTTACATCTCATTGCTGATCCCAATTCATGCTTCTCTCAGCAAGATTTATCTCTCATCTACTTGCACACAATCTCCAAGATGGAATTATTAAGAACCGTTTGCCACCAAAAAGGAGGTTTTTCAGTAGCAATGCTCAAACACTGCTTCTGTTTGATATTTCATTAAAAGCATTAAGGGAATAACAAGTTTCTCAAATTTTAATTACTCTTTTCCTTTGTCCAGGTCTTGAAAGACAGCAATAAGAGTCTTTAAGACAAATAATACATCTTCTATATGATTTTAAACCAATTAACATTATTATTGAAACCAAATCCTTGTGATTTGGTTACTTTGCTTATAAATGGTTATCATACTAACAGCAGAACATATAAAAAGTAAAAACATTGCAGTAAGGCTGGTTTTCTAAAGGTTTCTAGAAACAAGCAGTTCTATTCACACGGATATGTCATCAAGATTTAAAAAAGCCTGATTAGGTAGTTTCAGCTGGTCTGTGAGGATCCCACAGATTAATACTTTATATGCATATGTATGTGTAAAATGATTTTACCTCCAGATTAGTCAATGTCATTTCTCGAAACACATAGGCAGGATTTCCTTCTTCTGAATGGCAGGTGATCTGGAAATTTCCATATGATGAGCTTCCTGATGGCTCCGGCCAGTATTGATGGCATTTAACCTGAAGTCAACACATTTTTGAAGACATTTGTGTTTAAATTCAGAATATTATTTTCAATCTCTCTAGTTGCTTATTCCTTTGTTCAGTAAAGAATATTTTGATCACTTTGTAATTACTATTAGTTTACTTACCAAATAGACTGTGCTACTTAATTAACTGCATATCATAAAATGTGCCACAGAGCACCAACTCAGTGTTAGCGTAAATTGAGGATGGATGCCTTTATCTTTCGCTACAATTTTTTTTTTAATTGTATTTATAAAATATTTCATCTTTACACTTGAGTGACAAAAATGCTGCTTTATAAATATTTCTGATCTCTAAAAACTTAATGTAATCTTCTTAAAGCACATGTATATGGGAAAAGAACATATGAAAAAGAGAAAGGAGATCAGCAACAAAAAGGCTGCTGAACCAATTAAAAATTAGAAGAATGCAGATGGTGGGCTTCAAAGACTCTTGATAAACGAAAACTCTAAAAACTTAGATTTTTAGATATATTGCTTAACGGCCTAATCATAGAGGTCATTTCAGCTCAAGTGTACTTTTGTTTTTCCAACCCACCTGGCGATTCTTTAAGAGCAGCCAGATTTGCAGACTTCCTGCTCCACTGAGACATCCCGGCATGCAGTGGGATAGTGATGTCAGTAGCCTCATGATCAGCTTTAGAGCAGGGAGTCTGCCTATGGGTATAAGACAGATAAGTCCTTTTACTTAATTATTTAGCAGCTCTCCAAAGAGCTCCACAAATATCATTATTGAGCAGGGTGGGGGAACCTCAGAACTGCTACTGCAAGTCTGTAGCAGATTTGTAAAGAAAATTCAAATTAAAAGGGCACTTGTACTGAAATTCCCTCTAATCATATTTATTTGGGAGCAGGCAGCATCATGCTAATGTTGAGTCACTGAAAAAAGGTTTAAAACACTGCAACTCCCCTTCAATTATTTTAATTACATTTAGAGGCCTGACCTCCCAACAAATACATGGTTATTACTAAGTTACAATATATACAGACAGCTGAAACATAGTCTGAGTTGATCAGAACACCCACAATGTTTCATAAATCCATCTTCAATAGAAATCCTGAATTATGAGAAATTCCACTAAACTATTATTCTACATCATTTCTGTCCACACACTCGATCATCCGGTGCTACTGTGAATGCTCCAGACCTGATAACACTGGAATTAAACCATTCATATGACTAGATTTTATTGCGTTGCTTGTTTCAAAAGGACAACAAATGAAGCTAATAAACTATTGCTTTTTTTTATTATTATTTTTAAAAAAAAGCCTTTGATAGCACCATTAACAGTTATTTTCAGCAATTCATAAGTCTCTACTTCTGCAGGTTTTTGTACCAAAAAGGCTGAAAAAGGACAATGATTTTTTCACATATGTTCATAGCCTCAGAAGAACATTTTATGAAGAATTTTAGACTTCAAGTTTATCAATGATTCTCTTAAAGACAGCCACCCAGGCACATTATCTCAACACTACAAAGCTATTTTAGGCTGCCTTAAAAATTCATCTCTACGTATCAAAGAACTAATTACAAAAACTGATTCAATTTTTTGGAGTTTCTTCATTTGAAGATTAGAGAAAAGAAGTCTCATGAAAGTAAATTCTAGTTTGACAAGAGTCAAACCAGTAAGCCAAAATATTTTAAGAAAAACATGAGGACTTAAAAGTATTTCAGCACTGAACCAAGTTTTAATATTAGCTACACTAAGAACATCAAAAGGTGTAAAATTTTGTACTGTTGTAGTGATGAATCTTAAGAATGCACTGCCCTTATGAAAACAGTTGCACTACCTGTCGTAACAGTATCTTCCTCGGATCTTTTAAATGGCAATCATCAACAGATATTTTTTTAAGTAAGTGGTATTTAAGAGAATCTTGTACTTACTCTACCCCGTTCAACTTGAGTTGTTAACATTACAACCATAGATGAGCCTTGTTCCCAAGTCATCTGCCAAAAATCAGGACAAGTGTTTGGCAATGGACCTTGACAAGCAATGTACTGGTTTATTATAGAGGAAGAAGGGATTTCCATCTAAGAAAAGATAAAAATCATTATTTTAATTCTTGCATTCACCATGAGAATGAATTTCTGTAAGCTACACATCAGACAATGTTTAGTGACTAACAGATAAAAAAGCATCATTACATGAATCCTATTTACTGTAACTTAGTCACTACTGCCACATTAGCAATCCAAGAAGAATAATGTGTTCCTTTGGTAAAGGGCTACTTTCTCCTTTTTTTTTTCTTTTTTTTTTTTTTTTAAATAAAATTACCTGCCACAAACTATTAGCAATTAAGCAAACCTACGGTAAATTTCAAACCATCTGATTACAGGCTTACCCAGACATTCTAGCCTCGACTAGGTTCACATGAATTTTTTTTTTTTTTCACTTGAGTTCTCTGTTGCAAAACTGCAAAAGTACTTAATGTCAGAAAGTATTTTTAAAAACAGTACTCACATTTATGTAATTTGCATTGATGTAATCTTCATTACTTTTTAAAATAACCCGTGTAGCATCATCTGAAAAAATTTTAGAAAGCTGTTACTTATTTACTAACCAGGGTAAAATACTTCTAGAACACAAACACACACACATACTTACAAGGCGAAATGTCTCTGTATCTATTTTTGGAAATGTTTTGAGGTAATCTGGCACAAGACATTGTCATTCCAGGTTTTTTCCTATACAATTGCTAAAGACAAAAAAGATGGTCAAGATATAAAATACCTGTTAGTATATGCATAGAGGTACTTTTTATAACATAAATTACTGAACAAAGATAGTTTCAACAAATATGGAAATACTTTTCATAAGAAAACCCTGTGAAATATTCTATGGGATCATTTAAAATAATTGAGGCATCATCACTATTTGGTTGAAGACAAACTGACTGTTAAATTTCAGACTTCCATAAGAACACTAATGCAGTGAAGTCAGTATTATATAATGTTAAGGGAATTGGCAGATACTGACATTCCACATGGTGGTTTGGGGCAAGCAGATGGTGTTGTGTACAGCTCTCTACCTACAATGAAGTTGTTTCAGAGCTTTTTTTTTTTTTTGTCAGATATCTTCCTGCATTTCATTAGGTATACAGTGAATCCTGTGCTTTTCTTGCACAGTATCTCCTTTGAGAGGTCTCTGTCCTGTCATGCCTTAGTCATTCACTGCCGTAACTATTGTGCTGCAAAGAGTACCAGTGATATCATCCAGCTTCAATAAAAAGCACTTTAAAAACTTCAAGTCTGAATCATTTAAATACTTTGTTTTAAAGTGAACTCCTAAGTGAATTGACAGAAAAGAGGCCTTAAACCTGAGCAAGAGATGTGGCAAGCAGAGCTTTGAAATCACTTTTCAACCAGAGAACACAACCTTTCACTTGCCCTTCCAGATTAAAACATGGTGACTACACACATTCCATGCACAAGTTTGACATCCTACGGTAATGGAACAGCTAAATGAAGACCTGGGAGTTATGTGTCAGTACACCCATACATTTCTTGACCCAAACACACACACCAAAGCCATTTATGTAACACTAGGTGTTACAAAACCGTAACTTTCCCTGGAAGAGCTCTCAGTGTAAACCTATGCGGTGTAACATACAAGGTACATACGCTGCAAAATGTGGGTACTATTCTATGTATAAAATAAGTACATTTTACCAGAAGTCTCAAATAGCATGTTTTATAAAAATACATTGTGATACATAACCTTAGGTCTCTGGTGAGGAATTCACTTTGCCGTGTTTTACAAATTACTGCTTCTTGCTTTAAGTCACTTGACCTCATGCATTAATGAAGATGGAGTATCATCAGAGCACAGGTTAGCGCTAAAGAAAAACTATAGCTATCAGCAGCTATGGATACCAAAAGAAATGCACTGTTCTTTTCAAATATGCCAAAAAATTAACTATTTATAAAGTAATTTGTTACACATTTTAACAGGGCTGTATTTTCCATTGGTAATTTTATATTCCCTCATTGAAATTGTCCATAAAATGTCAACAGTTTAGCTGTCATTCAGCTCCTACATTAACTTTGATTAGTAATAAAGGTCTGAGTACAGAACACAAATCTTTGGTATGGATTTTTGTCATCACCACTATAAAAGTTTATTAAAATAGGCCCCTGATAACCATAAAAAGTTGCAAGCAATCAATAAGGCTATTTAAAACAGAAACAACATTTAGAAGTAGTATTTGGATTGGTTATTCTATGCCATAACTTTGGACATGTATTGTTTCTCTACAGGACCTTTTTTTTTAAAAAAAAATAAAAAATATTTCTTTTGAGCATTGAGTCAATTGTTTTACTCAAAATTGCTGATGGTACTGAAATTTAAGTGAAGTTTTCTCCGTTTAAAATTCTTACTGTCCCAAAAGACTTGAAACTTGCACACAAATACAGGTGACAGTACTCACATCAAACTGAGCCAGAACAGTTCCAGTGATAAGCCCCTCTGCTAGCTGAATCATGGATTCCCTCAGAGCATTATCATCTTGATGCACACCATCAAGTGGAGATTTCTCAGGGATGTACTGGAAGTCAGGCTCACTCTCCAGCTTCTCTTCCACAACATCATAGACAGCTACAAAAAATTACGAGTATGAAGGCTCTAATCAGACATGCTGTTTGGCAAGTAAAGTTAACTTTAAGTCACTTATTTAAGTCAACTAAAAAGGCACTTCTCTCCTGTAGAAAAACCCACATTTATTAAAAACATCGATTTTAATCTCCATCATCAAGGAAAAGTAGCATTTACTGATTACTAGCACCCATGACAAAGCTATTTTTGGCTTTAATAGTCATTTTAAGCAAAAGCATATCACTGACTGTTCACATTTTGATCAAACCTCACGTTAGACCCTACCTTGTCTGGTGTACTCCCTAATCTCAAATTCCCACATCACGCCTCTGAAGATACTACAGGTACATTTACATTTTTACTTTTATTTCATTTTGTACTGATTGGTTCTTTCAGGCTTTGGTGATTAGGGCAAGACATGCAGCCCACCAGACAAATTAGCACTAATATATGCCATTATAACACTATCAATGCTGTATGTGTGCCCTGCCTATAAACAAACTGAAAAATAATATGCATCATCTACTATACATAACAAACATGCTGTTAGAAATCCTCTCTTTAGTTGAAATTGCATGATCATGAAGGAGGAAACTGGCAGCTCCTCGCTTCTACAGCTCAAATGTTTTTATCCAGAACACAAAGATAATCAACACATAAGGGGATATCAATTCAGTAACTTATAAACAAGCAGTTTTATATGAAAAAGAAAGTAAACATAAAAACTGCAAGAAAGCTTGCACACAGAACGTGAACACAAGCAGGAAGCATGAATACAGGAAATATTGTTTATGAGGTGTTTGACATTCTCCTGAAGTAATTTCAATTATTCTGATTGAACATGATTTTTCATTTTCCTTTCCTGTGCAACTGTATTATAACTGGGATGTAGAGCAGAATTAACTCCAGTGACCATCTGCTGGCAATACTTCAACAGTTTACGTCATGAGTATATAGAAAACACTGTTATTTCAACTGCATTTTTAGCACTTTCTGCATCAAGTAGAAATGTTACCAGTCATTCTGAATTTTTTTTAAAACATATAGGAGGATTTTGCATATATGGAACCCCAAAGGCTTCCAAACACTGGGTTCTTGTTTTGTGTTTTTCTTTTTCTTCAAGAGAATTACAGTAACCTCAGAAACTGCATTCAATATCCAGATAGTTTTCTGGACTTTTTTTCCTTAATCAGTGAGAGTGAGAACAAAATTCACTTCATCTCTCTGTTAGAAATACATGATCTCTGGCTTCGCTATTCATTCCTAATACCTAGTTCTGAACAGTTCCTGAGAGTATGGGATCAGTTAAGATTTATACAATAGGCTGTATTGGTGCAAGTCCTTTTCAAGGGAGTTACTTCTTAAAAGATAAGCATTCCATCAGAATACAAAAAATTAAGATTAGAAAATAAATCCAAGGTGTTTTTTGATTTATTTATATATATTTTTTTCATTATGTACATATCACTCACCATTGGGTCGAACTAGGAGCACAAGTTCCCCTGAGTGTCTCTCACAGCTAGCTTTAATAAACATAACAACTTGATCGTGGGTATGTTCTGCTATATCCCTGCCGTTGATCAGTACAACCTGGTCTCCTTCATTCAGACGAGGGACACAAAGATCAGCCTGCAACACACAAAAATAAAATCTGTAAAATGAGCCATTTCCAACTTGTCACCTTAAAATAGCAACTGAAAGTAACTACACTCTGGGACTTGAATCCTAACAGCCAAGTTACTATGGTTGCTGCATTGTATTCAAATGATAAATCTGACTGTTGCTCAATATATGAGACAGTGCCATTCACATGTACAAATCAATTTGTCACTGGGAGGTGACTGTCATTGTCATGTCTTTCAGCAGCTGTTACTCCACTCCTCTGGTTGAAGTAGAAAGCTTGGCTGAGCTTCTCTTTTTCAATCACATTTTACACAGGCAAGAAGAATGTTATCTTTGAAGGGAAGGGAGTAATTGCCTAAATCAATATCAGAGGCTTAAATACTTCAGGTATGAAACATTACAATTGTAACGACAAGAGTAAGCCAATAACCAAAGACAATGCACAAGTCTAAGTAATCCCAAAAAGAAGAATAAAAATTATTATTATACCACAGTTCAACCATGGTTGCAAAAAAGGAAAGAGCACATTCCATCACCAATTATCTTTTCCTTGGAGACCGGCTATTTAAAGCTTTTACCCAAAATTATTTATATTATTAAATATTTTAGAGATAATAATTCACATGGGTAAGAACATTGTTCTTAGCACAGATTTCAACAGGAAAAAAATGGGGAAAAAATGCTGTATTTCTTAAATAACTGTTAGCAAAGAAATGGTTCACTCTACTGTAAAAGGTGTAAACAGAGCTGACTTCAGTCAGCTGAATACCAGGTCAGTATTTCTGGCAATCAACTGACAAAATATTGTGCCTGGTTTGAAGACACTATTGATAGTCACTACACACCATTAACAACAGACAATCAGACCTAATGAATGATTCATTATGTCTGATTTTAACCTAAGTCTTGGCTTTATTCAGCTACATCTGTCACTAAAGTAAGAGGTGTTTGCCGTTTTAGCTGTTTTTAAGAGAATAGAAGACTCCATATAAATTAAATTGTATGAATTCCTATATTAAAAAATAATCAAGTAAATGCATTTTTAAGATGATAGCTCAAGAAACAGTGCATACTGAACATCCACAGATCTGTAATTTTCAGGAACTAAATCTTGTTTCATTAGAAAAATATTTTTGAGGATTGAACTTTTCTTCCCCCGTGTTATATAGCCCCACAAAATCCTTTCTGCAAATCATTTGCTTTCTTAGGATAATGTCAGCACAGGCTTATTTCATAGGCAGCTAAGAAAAAGTTACTAGTTTTGAGCACATACTTAAAGCTACACAGATATTTCAAACAGTTTGATTTTTTATAACTTACAGGTGTTCCTGGAGCTACCCTGGACACTATTACGGGCATCTTCTGATCATATCCACCCTTTAAAAATAAATTACAGAAGTCATAAACCACAAACATCAGAAAAACAACTTAATAGACACAAAAGGAATAGTTACTGTACCTTGACATTGAAGCCAAACCTTCCGTTTTCATCTGGTTTCATTCTGATCATAACAAGATTGTCATGGGGGATACCACCATTGGGCTAGTAAAAAGAAAAAATATATATTACTTGTTACTATAGCCTTTGCGGATATTGTAAGCAATAATTTTGCATTTTCCTCATTAAGATATTGATACTGGACACTCACGAAAACATCAATAAGGCAAATGTCTTATCTCATGAGTTTTACATAGAAGGAAAAACAATAATACACTTAAAGTCTTGGATGTAATTATTAAAAGTGTGTTCTGTCAAAGGAAGCTCAGAGTAAGAAATGTCACTAATGGCTTCAAGCAGTCTTAAGAGAAACAAATTACCGAACTGAAACTTTTAAAATTATTTTAGTTTAGACTGCAGCGAAGAGCCCACAGTAAGAATGTAACATGATAATAAATGAGGTAAATTAATACACACTTTTTCTCCCCTATTAACTGCAGTATGGTAGCAGTAAGCTGAGAGAAGTTTGGCAACCAAACCTTGATTCCATATTCCATCCTATTTTGTGCTTAATGTAGTATGAGTTCTGTCAAGCTCTGACAATTCAAACATTTTATTTGTTTATTATTATTCTGATCAGAACAACATTGTCACAGGAACCACCAACAAACTGGGGAATACTAGATACTTTTGTAATCTGGCAAAATCAACTTATTGCCACTGAAATGAATTTTAGTTTATTCTACATTAATGTCACAGGCTGAATATCACCTAGTACATACATGGTGACGATGTGAAGTACTATTAAAGAGATTTATTTCAATGATGTTTTTATTGTTACCAAATACAGCCCAAAGCATAAGAGTCACATTCAGAAAAGAAGAAAAAAATCCATGTATTAAAGGAAATCAAATGTTCCTATTAGGTATGAAAGTTCAAAACCTGCAGGTTCAATTAGGTAAAAAGGTTGCTAAACTTGGCTCATAAGAACTGGAAAAAAAAAAAAACAAAACATAAAAAGACAACTCAGCGTCACGTGTTTTAAGCTCCTGATTAAAGCCAAACCACCCCCACCCCACCCCAACCGCATTCATAGTAGTGAAAAGATGAAAACTTCGGGGAAGGTGAGAAGAGTAAACATAAGAGTAAGCATAAGATATATTGATGAGAAGGAAGGGAGCATATAATTTTTTGCCAACATTCACTGGCACAGGAGACCAGGCGAATGTTCCTGGGCAGGATGAACAATAAGCACGGGCTCACATGCAGAGTTTGGCAAGTTCTGTGCAATTCCTTTCCCCAGATAAAAAAAGAGGGGTAATTATTTCCTACTCTAACAAGCAATTTTGAATTGCCTGTTTATAGTGAAAAACCCGAAGAGAGCACTGTAGATCATCATTAACTTGTCCTGACTGCAGAAATTCCTGGCCACACCTGTTTTCAAATACTTCTGGACATTCTGACTGGATGCTTAAGGAAGGCTGCCATAAAAAGCTGTCATTTCCATACCTGTCCTACTACCATTCTAAATGAACTCTCCATACGTAAACAGACAAAGGAAATTTGACAGCTTAATGAAGGCAAAATGATCGGAGTTTTTCCTGGAAATATTTGAGATGGAGCAGCAGAAGAGACTTTAACAGTACAGAAACCTGAAGTGCATTGTGATCAGAAAAGCAATCTTGAAAAATTGCTTTCAAAATCCTAAATTTCTAATTTCACAAAATGTAGGAGTCATCCTGTGTTTCTTTTCTAGTATCCCCAAATAAAAAGCAATCAGCAGACCAAATTACATCTTCAATTACAACAGTGTGCTGCTGTAAGTAGGGCTGAGTAAATGTAATTCATTGGACCAGAGCAAACAATCACACTGACAATGCACACAGGAAAAAATCTTATTCTGCAAAAAACAACACAGCTGCGTGAGAACTAAAAGGAGTTTTTAAAAAAACAACTGAAAGTTATTTTTGTCAATTCGGTACAGATAACTGAATGCAGAAAGACTTGATGAGTTGTGTTATTTTTCAGAACAGAACTTCACTATGCCTTGAGTAAGCACCAGCAGAAGACCAAGTTGTTAAAAATACTGTTTCATGATTTAATTAAGGCAAACTTTTTATGACATTCCCAAAATGCTCATAAATTTAAAAAGTTTCAATTTTGTGTTTTATTAAAACCCCAGCTATGAAATTAAATATGGGTTTTATGGGAATCTTAACTTTATAACAAGGCCTGAGAGAACACCCTAGGCTTAGGGTTCAGAATGAAAATAAAAATAAACCATAGGCATTTCTAAAATATCAATTTTGGGAGCTGACTCATAATTTTGAATGTCTGAGGTTGGTGAAACTGTTTATACAGTATCTGCTACATCTGGATGTTAAGGAATTTTCCCATTCTGAAAAACATTCCTTGTCCCACATCAGTATAAAACCAAAAACCATTTGAAAACTTTTCTAAGAACAAAAATCACAAAAATGGTCAGTGATTTCTCACCTCAGACAGAAAATAATCAACTGATTATATTACTCATCTAGCACATGCTCAAGAAAGAAAAAACTGGCTTGGATGTTTACGTTCCTTGTCACAAGTCTCTGGGTAGTGGCTCTTTCTTGGAAATTCTAATCAGAAATGTTACCACAGATTCAAAAATCCAGTCCTGACAAAACTACTCCAGATGCTAGTAGGAATTTTTAGGTTCAGCTTTTTGACAAAAGCTAGGTTAAACACAATTTTTCATACCAGCAGTAGTTACCTACAATGTCTTCTTTAAAACCGACAGTGACTTCTGAAGAGGTTAAAAGTTTCTGCAAGTGATGAAAAGCTGAGTATTATAAAAAAGATCTAACATGTTTTGCATAGTTATCCCAGTGTAGTCATTTGGTGACAGCAGACAAAGGACTACTCCAGCGGGTAGAAAAAGTAGTAGTAGTGAGGAAAGAGAGAGTATGTATAATGGAAATGCTGCAATGTAACATACAAGCGTGGCAATTCCCTGAAATGTATCAGAATTTAGCTAAACAAAAGTAGATCTTTCGGAAAAAAGCAAAATAATTAAACTAGACCTAAAAACTTACTGTGGACTTTTCAGGTGATGCAGGAACATCAAATGTTTCATTAATATGGTTATCCAGTTCCTGCTGTGAGTGTGAATGATGAATTTGGTTCAAACTGTTCTTTTTAAATTGTTTGGGTGGTAATGCAGGAGGCTGCCCATCTATAGGAGTTTCTTGAGATCTAAGTACCAAAATAGAAGTAAAATCATTAGATACTGACAATACTTTAACAATTTCAGGTAAACTAAATAAACTGCTTGAAGAAACTCAGGGTTTAAAACCTGAACATATGCATATATTTTGAGAATCTTAAAGATTTACTGTGGTGGAATACATTGGAAGTATATGCTTAGCCATGTTACTGCCTTATTCTTGAAAAGCAATAGTACATAGAACAAGTGAGTTCAAGTTTTATACTTTTTCCTTTTCCCCCCCCCCCCAAAGGTTATAGCACTCTTAACCCATTTTGTGTTTAAAAACTATAAAATTCACTGTATTTACACAGTTTACTTTTGCTAAAAATAAATATCTAAAGTACATGTCACTTAAAATGTTTCCTGCAATAAGAAAACCAATTAGATCACAAGTCAATGCCTGAAATTAATCTTAAAAAAAAATAAAAATCTTAAAAACAGACAAAAGCATTCTAATGAAGTGCTCCCACGCTATTTTTTGCCTTTTGATCTAGAAATAGGAGTGCAAACTCAAGTCAATTCAGCTGTCCACCCACATTTATTTGAAAAGCTCAGTGGAGGTGACAGAGTTAAAATTTTCAACTTAAAAGTATATATATACACACACACAAAGGCATATTTCAAAAGAACTTTGGTTTTATTCCCCTTTGAAATTTTTTGAAACATTTGTAAAAATGGCATTCAGAGCATGCATTTTTGAGTTGAGTTTTAACATCATTACAGAAGATAGAATAGCAGGAACTTCTATTTCTGTTTTAGATCTTCAAGCACTGTACTGTAGATTAATAAAAATGCTCTCTGTGTTTATGTGCAATATAGATCATTTCCTTTATTAGTCCTTTTGGAATAAAAGCTTAACCATATAGCTTGTATTATATAGATGATTCATCTTTCATTATATGGCTTTATACTTAAGAATTAAGGAGAACATTTTTAGAGGCTCGAAAGGGCAGTTAGCATTAGTTCCTATTAGCTTAGTTTGAATGTCAGTTTCTAAATACCAGCAAGGATACATGCCTTCCTCCTCACAAACCACATTAAAAGGTATTATTAAGTAATTTAACTACTTATGGCAACAGCCCACTGATACTAGCAGCAAATCCCAAACCCATGAAGAATGAAGTTACAGGTTACAGCTAAACCTGAAGAGCACACCACCACCAAAACCGGGTACTGCCATTCTTTCACTCACACCCGTGCCCCTGTCCTTGAATGACACCAGTGCTCCTCCCTTGGCCAGCCCAGCTTACCAAACCAGCCAAATACAGCGACTTTTGGACAAGCCTGGGTAGCTCTCTGCTGGTTCAACAGGACGAATCATCTCATCCCTAGGTCGAGCACTGTGAGGGGAGGGAAGTACACTCCCAGAAGCCAGAAATAGGACAATGTCCCTTTCGTTATCAGCAAGCTGTAGCACTGACTCATACTATAACATCCCTCTAAAAAACACAGGTACTCACGTGGCTAGCTGCTGTAAACTGTTAGCTGGGTAAGACTCTCGTTATGAGACAGAACAGCATTTCAGGTTGCTGCAAGTCTGAAAACCTAAAGGCAGCTGTACATCAAATTCTATCCCGCAGAATTTGGTTCTGTGTAGCTAAAGGGGAACAGGGCCCAGGTGCACATTTTCAAAAAAAAAAAAAAAAAAAAGAAAGAAAAAATAAGATCCGTATTGCCGGTGATCTGATGATTTAAAACCAGGGATGAACATCTTTCAAAAACTGCGATAATGGAGTGGAAAATGGAACATTTCTCTAAAAAAAGTGCACATTTTCCACTTCAGTTTTTAAAAATTTAGCCATTTTTCTAGAACACAAATATTGATTATTATTTTTTTTTGGTCAATTTAGGGAAACAGCACATTTGAAAAGATCTTAACAGTATTTTGAGAGATACTTTTGCTTAATGTCAACTTTTAGAAAATAATAGAAATAATATCTTGTGACACTTTTCAGTGCAACTAAAAGTAAAAAGCCTTTTTATTATTATTGATAAGTACCTTTTCAGAATAAAGTTTTGTGGAGAGGGAAAAATATGATGGTTGCCAACATTTGCCGAATGAATTTTCAAGGCAACTCTAAATTATTTAGACATTGACTTATGAAGGTCACACAGAGCTTTTTATGTACCTGTGTATTTATACTTTCAGCTCTGGCCAGCACAGGTTATTCATCCTTTCAAGTGAAGGGCAACACGGTTATATATTTTCCTGCAAACAATTACTCCTGAGAATTTTAAACTGAATAAAAAAGGAATGGGAAACCTTCATAAAGACACAAAAGGATTCCGACAGAAGTAAATGTTGGAACTTAGGTTTGACTAGATGTTGGTCCATACATGTCTACAAACACAAATTCCTACAGAACATACAAACGTATAGAAAAGATTGGAAAAGTTACTTAAATGAGCATTTTAGTCGCAGCAAGGCAAGCACTGTAATACATTAGCATAACGAATTGTGAGAACTAACAATCAAGCCTTGGGCAAAAACTTCATTGCTTTATATTTGCCCAGTCAGCTTTGAATTTCCTTATGAATGCTTAGACAATGGCAGTGAAAGCAGCCTGTTTTGCAGGCAAAGCAGCTCTCTGTTTCTGCTTTCAGCAATTTACATCATAATAAAATAACACACAAAACCTCACACTGACTACCTTTGTGTATTTTTGTTACAGATATCCGGTCTGACCTTTCATAATATATTAAGCAAACATTTCATACACATACCCATAAGTTCATTAAACTAAATATATATCATGTGCTTTTGGAATTTAAGGTTATAATTACCTCCATAAACTACAAGCTGTTCTGAATAGCACATGCGGATGAAGACAAAAAAAGCAGATTGAAAGACTGTGCTACCTAACCTATAATGCCCTTCTAAACTGCGCTGAAAATCTAATTTCTTTTGCTATATTGACTCCAAACTTCAAGAGAGCACTATACAAACCATCAGGTTACTCTTACTGTCTTGCACACACAAATTTGATCCGTAACTAGGAATTTCCAATAAATTAGCAGATGGACTACTCTAATCTCCCAACTTGGAATAATCTAAATATTTAACATATAGCTTTGTTTTTTGTTGTTGTTTTTTTTTGTTTGTTTGTTTGTTTTTTTAAGTGTAAAACAGTACCATTTTTAATTATATGGTCAATATAAACTTTGTGACTCTACTACTTTCATTCATAAATACCAAAGCTTGAATCAATAACATCACCTAAGATTTTCAGAAGACTCTGAAACCCTCACGGTTCACATTTTTGACAGTAATATCCTCACTCTTAAAAGTACCTTATACTAAGTGTCTATAGAGGGAGATTAAATTCCACTTCTGAACTTCCAACAAAGGAAAAAAAAATTAGTGATGGAAGAGCAATATTTTTCCTATTAGGGCATGAAAAGTGCAAAATCATGAAGAACACCCATAGTTGCATAAGTAACTTGCACAACCACTTCCTCTCTACTTTTAAGGTTCATTTCTATGGTAACTTACACAAATCAGATATTAAATAAACAAATCCAAAGAACCTTCAGGAACATATTTTACAACTTAAATTTAGACTAGAGGCATATGAATAAAAGAGCTTTTTAGAATTTTGCTTACTCCACTGTATCACTCTACCATTCAAGATGAGTTTCTCATAACTGACTTCATTTGTCTTGGAACTGAAGGAACCTGCGTGCCCTCAGTACAGTAAAACTTAAGTATGAAAAACAGATTCCCAAGTGTTCCAGTTTTGAGATTCCCTTGCCACACAAATAGATTAAAAAGACCATCAAAAAAAGGGAACTTTCTATTATTAGGCTAAAGCACTGCTTTTTCATTTCTGAAATCTAAACAATTGACTGTAAAATTATAGCTAATAAAGTAACTTGTGTTATTTTACAAAAACCTTAACAGTTTTCTATTGTATTTCCCTCCCCAAAGTTATGCAAAGTTAGTGAAATAGAAGGTACAGTCCAAGCAATGTTTTAAAACCTTAAATACATTCCCAGTGTATTTTTTTCCTGAGACATACCAGCTGTTTATAAAAATGTAATTATGCACATGTTGTTTTATAGTTCTCAAATGGTTTTGAAACCATTTGCATAATTTCCTTGCTTATAGAGATTACACAAAACTATGAGGATAAATTTAGAATTATATGTGTATCTACATATAAATGATATTAACACTGCTGCTGTATCTTTTTATATTGTGCACCATTTTTCCCCCAATTTATCCGTAGTCTGGCCACCAGTTTATTCCAAGCATTTCAGATCTTTTAATAACTCAGGTTTTTTGTTTGTTTGAAAATAAATACTTTTCCCGTAGAATTCCTTCAATTCACGTATAGATTCTTTACAAAGAAAACCTTTAGTTTGCAACCTGCTATAATAATTTTGATTACAAATGAATATATAATCTTTTAGATGACAACTATGTCAAGCAAGAAAATCCTTGCATGAAAAAGGAAGATATTTATAATTCATATCTACAAAGGCTATGTCATCCTTTTGAACTTAATATACAATACTACATTTTCATCACCATTGCATAGTACTCTTACAGCATCAATAATATCCAGATTGCTAGGAAAAACAAAACAGTGCAGTCTTAAACAAAATAAAAATATACTCTACAACAATGTACAAAGTATACTAAGAACCTCGGAATGCTGGGGTACCAACAAGGTATTTTAGCTGAGTAATTTGTATGTCTCACAATTCTGTGTTTTGACAAAAAGCAAAATTTCCAAAGTCATGGGAATTTAAAACTTAAAACAAACTTTACTTTTACAACTTTAAAGCAAAACAATACACTCCAGTTCTACTGAAACCAACTTTTACGTTCACATCCAGACACTGATGGTCACACTACAACAAACCCACATTTACATTGGGCAAGGGGAAAGGCATGGCAATCCTGTACTAGGAACACCTCAGATATACATGTAGGTCTTCATTCCTGTATAATTTAATTTTTTACTAAGTCTTACACTAATAGCCCCTGAGCAATGGCTACCTTTTTATTAGATTTTCTGGCTCTCCCTAACCAAAACATTTAAAACTATATTCTCTGTGGCATAGATTTCTGACTTGTTATCCTCAGTAGCCCTGTATGCTCCCACACAGTAACAAATCAACAAAACTTACGGTGATGATTCCAGTATTATGCTGTTAGCCTGGGTGGAAGATGGAGATCGGTGGTTCACAAATACTTCACTTGGCGAAGTGTGAACCACATGGTCCACTAAATGTCCAACTGATGAGGGTCGTAACCGGGCTCCTTCTTGAGTGAAGGCAGAGTTTCGACTAAAAGGGAAAGCATAGCAATGCAATGTGAAAAGAATTTCATTATTAACCTACATTTCTTACACCACTACGAAAGAATGCTAGAAAAACACTTTTTCCTCTCAGTGAAAGCATATGTTCACATACATAGTTCTATGAAATAATTTCAGGTTTCAAAAAATCACTGAAACAATTGTCAGATAGACGTACTATGTTTCATAACTTTCTTTATGAAAATATTTTTTGCACACTTCCAAACACACTAAACGGCTATTTTTTGTATTTTTAGAGAAGCCTGAAAGATAATGCTTTCAAGGAAAAGGCTACTAAACTGACAGTCCACTCAATGAGAAGTAAAATGAATCCCTGAGAATAAAAATCCTGTTTGTTCATGGAAGAACCTTAATATCCATTAAGACGAACATTTTATCCCCAACACCTTCTCCCAGAAGAATCATAAGCATTATACTGAGAGTCATTTCCTTTCTGTGACCCAACATTTTCTCATCTGAAAACTAGAATTGTGGCATATGCATGTATTCTTAAAATGCCTTGAACCATGAATGATTAAGTTATGTTATACTATAAGCATCTTTATTATATAATTTTAAAAGTAATTTTAAAATTGCTGCAGATATTTGTAACAACCTTCTTTTGAATAATCTACTGCAATGCCAATGAATCTTAAAATCTTGCTTAAGTAATACAAAATTGGATAATGCAGATTCTTAAGCCAGTTTCAGCACACTGAAATAGAAAGGTGCTTATTTTCCAAAAGAAATCAGAAATTATTTTCCCCTAACTAGTATAACTAAAATAAAACACAGCTCTAACATGTGAAAAGCAAGCTTTGAAGGGAATAAATGCAGAAACACTGAGGGAAATAAATCTGCAAGGATTTTTGATCAAGTAATTTTCCTCAAAGTTTTAATAAGCAAAATTATCCAGAACTAATTATTTCTGAAATATCACACAGATATCATTATTTTTTCTTAGCCAATTGAATAATTTAATTTTAACCGTGTTTGAGAGAAATCAAGCTCAAATTTAGGGTAGCATGCTACATGTTTGAGTTGAAAAGAGGTTGAGTGAAAAGTATCTATAATTCACCCCTGAACAGGTTCTCACGTGGAGTTAAATGTTCCAGAGACCTAATCAGCACATAATTTTGTCAAGTTATTTGTCTCCATAAAGCATTAGTCCTTTTATTACACAGGTAGGTCCCTGTCATTAGAGGCAGTCACTTATAGGGAGAGATTCAATGCTACTTACTGATTTGGGGTTCCAGGTGGAGACCTTGATGGCAGGCTCTGGGTTTCTAACCTATCATCAGACAGTGAGTTCCTACTCACTACTTCCCAGTCCATCCCACTCATCAATTTCCGTGCTAAGGGTTTACTGGGGGATCTAGAAGAAGAAAGTAAAATAATTGACCAGAAAGTATAAGAGGTCAGAACAATATTACATAAAATTAACTACAACAAAACTCTAGATATTCTATCAAAGGAAACCAAATCATATGCAAAACTCTAGATATTCTATCAAAGGAAACCAAATCATATGGAAACAAATGTAATAATGCAAAACTGTAGTGACGTGCTGTGTTGCATCTTCTCAATATATTGTACTCCATTTTCTGTACTTTGTATGAGAACATCAGTGAAATACAGTCATGAAATACTGTTGGCTGGTACAAAGGCAGACACGGTAGAAAAGGAACCTATTAAAACTTCACCAGGCATTTCTAATGCCTCAGAGAGAATCTGACTAAAACAGAATATTCAAGAGGTACAAACTCAAAAAAAAGAAAAGAAATGCTAAGTAACAGAACTGTTCAGCCGTCTCAGGAAAATAAAGCTGTGTGAACATCTGTCCAAAAAAGCTCCCAAAGACTTTGAAGAACTGAAAGCAGGGCAATAAGGAACATGGCAACCAAACTGCTGGGCTTTGTCTGCTCATGAGGGTTTTTCCTTCAAGGTGACACACGCTTTCTTCCAGAACATGTCTTGACACCAATAAATGAGATGCAATCATCTTATTTAATCTTCGTAGTGGCTACTTTTGGGTTCCATTCAGTTTTGTGCCAAAAACATCCTTCAAGTTGAGGTCATTATCCCCATCGTTTCTTGTAAGAAAGGAATCACTTTTTATTTGTTGCCATTTCTTGATATTGAGGAAACTTTTTCTTTTCATCCTCCAGTCATACCAGGATACATACTCACCTCTTCTGCTGTTTCTTTCTCATATTTCTCGAGTACATCCTTTAAATATCTAAGGAACTACTATTTTTCCCTCTAATAATGGACAGTGTCAAATGAATCATCCAAGGCTTGTGGTTGCCTTTCTCTAAGTGGCATCACATGGGCTTGTTCAGCCATCCTGCACCTAAACATATCCAGACTTCAGCTTTCTATTGTTTTTAACTGAAGATTTTTCTGCCAACAATAAAAATTCTTTCTAACAACCCTTAAATACACGTCCTTGTATTTTGTATTAATGAGTTTTTACTTCACCTCTACTACCCTGATGATGCTACATAGATCAATTTCTCCCCTATTATTAGCCAACTCCAGTGATATTGGTGTCCCCCATGATACCTCAATTTCAGTCACAATCCTTTAGTTCCCATTTGCCTTTATATTTTATCACTACACTCTTCTTAGTTCTCCAACTTCGGAGAAAAAGGTGACAACATGTTACTGTACCAGCATATTCTCCTCCATTTCCTTCCCCAGCTCCATACAACCACATCACAAAACTTCTGCCTTTGCTGTGCCCTAAACACCTGGTAACTGTTCTTTATTTTCATCTTATCATTATCACCTTACAGATTTACTGAAAGTGCAAACCCAGAAAGAAGGAACTTTGAGAAAATAAGGAACTACTGACACACAAATTACATCCTTCTGAAAATGAGAACTTCAGCTACAAATACATTTTTGCTTCTCACAGAAATTCAGTTAAATACAAGCCACCACCTTAAGTAGACCATCCTCAGTATTACCAAAAAAAAGGTCTAAAAAACAAAAAGCAAACGTCATGTTGAGTAATCTATCTGCACATACAGGAACGTGCATGTCTTATTGCTTAGTACTAAAGCAGCAGTGATCTAGGTGTGAAGGGTTTTTAACTTTTTTTTTGTTATGTTTATTCCCTCCCTATGTCCTGATGAAGTTCTGAACACGTGTTGCATGCTGTTTTGCTGTTCTAAAGATTTACTAAATAGCAGCTGAAAAAATTCAGAGTTGAGCAAGATGGGTTGTTCTAAATCCTATTCCTTCAGGTCTTAATCCACCTGAAAAAAATCTAGCAGTGTATCGATAACTGAAAGCAGACAATATAGCAGCTGTTTATTTCCTGAGAAATAAGACACCCAGCTTCTTTGAATGGATCACTGTATTTAAGCAGTATTAATTTGATTCAGAAATAATTAGCTTGATATCAAGTCAATTAAACCAATATTCTCATTTCCATAATTTGCTTCAAATATGAGCAACTGAGACCTCTTTAGAGATTTTTATTCACATAGCAAATTCAAACAGTTCTGAATGAGTACAATAAAAAGAAACCAGCAGAACTGAAATACATATCTAATGTTACCAGCTCATTATTCTTTTATTAACCAAAGGCAATCATTAGCTAGACTTTGCTGACACTAAGTTTGCAGCCAGCAGATCAGCACCAGAAGCCAGCTCTGCCAAGAGGTAAATTCTACTGACTAGAAAACTAGCTAGGGGGAAAATGCAGATGAACACAGTATAACCAGGGGTAAATTAGGTGAACATGGGAGTGAAGATACAGTACCGACAGACATGTAAAGACACCTACTGAACTATCTTCACGTTCAGTGAAAAATAAATAAATCAACAGGTGGATACAGGAAAGTTTTGGTTCAAATGCACAATAGCAGCAAAAGGGGAATTTTCTTGCCTATATAAACAGAAAATAAATTATGAAGAGAGACACAAGTATGGGCACAGGGAAAAAAAACTTTTTTTTCTTCAAAAAATATCACTTATGAGTGCTTCAAAACCAACTCACCCCATCGTATCTTGAATCAGTTTAACTACATTTTGAAAAACTTCCTCAAACTATGCAACAAATTAGTACAACCTTAAAAATTAAAAAAGCAGCACCTCCTTCCTTATTGAAATAATCCAATGTTAGGAAAACTCACCTTTTACTGTGGATATGGTCTGATCTTTCAGAAATTATACCACTACCATGATAAACAACTGCAGAGTTTATCAGCAAAGGTTCGTTTCAATTATTTTATTAACAGCTCTAACCTCAGAGTCCCACCCACTCATGTTTGTTGCCTCCATTTCCTGTCTTTGCAGAAATTTCAAAGAAAAAATAACCACACGCAGCACTGAACTTCTCAGTGCTGTGGCTTTTTGATACTGGTTCTCTTTCCAACACTTAGAAATAATAAGTTTTGATGTTTAATTAAAATTGAACATGCATCGTGAAATATTCCTGCACACTTATTCTCTGCTATTAATTTATTACAATACTCAAACTTTCACATGACGTAGTGCAGATGGGAGGAGGAGAGTAAGCACAAAAAACTTTTGAAATGCTTTGATAAACTTTGAAATTCTGAACTCTGCATTTGTCTGCTTGTTCTGGATACTTCTACTGCACCGCACCACACGGCACTGCTGAGTAACCTGTTTTCAAATTTAATGTTATTTTTGGCTTATCTGCAGAAACATTCCTAAAAAAAAGTTGGAAGAAATCACATCTGAGTAGGGCCAGAGACCAAAAACTTTACATGCTCCCAAAAACCAAGAACAGTCTTAGGAGCTGTGATACCATATCAAATATAAAACACTAGAAGCAGGGATAAAATTATATAACAACCAAAAATAGCGTAACACCAGTGGTATTGACTCAGCTATAGTACACAAAAAGTTTCAAAGCATTTGTTTTGAGGTCCCACAGCTAAAATGCTAAATCCTCACAAGTTGGCAGAGACAAAATTGTTTGGGGATACAGGAGGAAATCTTTTAAATCGTTTCTGTCCCCAAAAGAAATATAACCTGGAGCCACAGCCTTACTTTGTATGTTGACAAGAAGCAAAGGGAATGAATTTCTGAGCAAAACTAGTGACTACTGATTCAGACAAAGAAACTGAAATTATACACAAGTCTGCAGATATACCACAAAATGACATGTACAGTTTAGAGCAGAAGAATTTAAATGACCTGAGTAAATGTATGGTTGAAACAAATAGACTGGATTTCTGGAAACAGAGATTGTAACCTCATGATAGACAGCTTAGAAATACAAACGACTGAAATAACCACACTCTATCACATGATATGTATAAACAACCTTCTCTCAGATTCAGTATATACCATCAGAACTGAACAGAATTAGAATATCTTGCCAGAGAAAGCAATGTTCTTTAAGAAACCTCACAATTCATGACTTGAAAGATAATAGAAGTGAAAAAGTTCAGTCCCTTATTATGCTCCTGGGAATTCTCACAGATTTTTATGGTTTGTAAATATCCTGCAACAAATGAGGCCAAGAGAATAGCTATAATGAAGATGAAAAAAAATCTAAACAACCGCAACAACGGTCTTCTAAATGCTGCAGTTAGTGCTGCATGAAATTACAAAGCAGCATCCACAAAAGGTATTCATCAAATTTATTAGACTATTTCCTTTACAGTAATAGGCCCATTTTTAAAATTAATTTTAAAACATTTTTATGATTTAAAAAAAGTCATGAATACAACTTCAGCTAATTTTATATTAAAATCGTGAGGACAAAGAGCTAAGCCTGACAACTGTGGGTTAAAACCACCTGCTTCATTAAAATTGATGTTATTTTATTGTATGTTATGTTATTGTAATTTTTTCCATGCCTTGTGCTCTGTATCTATGTTCTATTTGACATGCGAAAGCTGGGTGAACATCACTTGTGGCAGCATGCCATTTCCCATACCAGAATAAATTGATAATTCAAATAAGATCTCAATTTAACTAAAAGTATCATTTTCTTACGATGAAAGGATTTAAAAGTTTCCTTATTATCTCAGTATTAGCTCAAATAGAGCAACTTCTATTTAAATGTGAATGGGAAAATAAAGACTAAATCTGTACAGCTTTAAAAAAAATCCTATTTTTTTTTTCTTTTAAAACTGTCACTGAAAATAAGTATTTTCCTGCAGATCATAACTGATCTTGAATAAATCTTCTGATACGGTACTAATAAAAGCAACAGTAAATATTCAATTTTTTAAGAGGCCACTTCAATCCTGAAAGTCCTGAGTGCAAAGTTAGCATACTTGTACTTTCATAACAAAAAGCAAATGACACCTATAACAACTTCCAAAAGATGAGCCAACTGAAACAAGACTGTCGCTTGAAAGGTTAAAAAGCTGTTCAAGGACATAATTACTTTGTCTGAGAAAAACACACTCAGAAAGAGAAAGGAAGGTTCCAGGAACAAAACCCACGCCATACTTGGAAAACCTTAAAAAGCAAAATTTAGTTTCTGTATGAATACAAGGCCTAATATCTGTTCAGTATTTCATCTTGAAATGCAGATGTTTAATAGACAAGGAATTAAAGACAATGTTTTTAGATTAAGCTCCTTGAAGCACGCGTTGTTTGACAAATGACATCCATTTCGTGTTTTTTTTTTCACCCTTTAAAATACAACAAATCTTTAAAATTGAAAATGCATTAATCGCACACTGTGCTGGAGAGGACAAGAGGAGAAGCAGATGATCTATTAAAAGCTTTTCAAGGTGTATTTATTACAATACACCATTAAATTCAGTCCACTCTGTGACATATGTATGTGTGAATCAGATGTTTATCAGTCATCAACATTACTAAATAACTTGAAAGGTAATTGAAGATGAATGCTGTATTGCTCTGTCTAACAGAAACAGAGGAAAATGCAATTACAGAGGACAGAAGAGTCAAGTATTTAATTAACTAAAAAAAGCAGAAAAGACTTGAGGAAACATCAAAGCAATTCTAGCCACGGGTTTCAATTTTATCCAGAGTATATATTACAAAAGACAAATGACCCCAGCAATGCTTGCTCTGGTTAGACTCAAAGGGAAGAGTGCCATCTACTGAAATAGAGTTTCTAAAATGAAGCATATGTTCCTCAAAACCAAGTACCGGCCCTCCTCCCTCTCACTTATTTGTGGGAAATTGCCAAGTTCAGAGTGAAACGTGAAATACATAGCGTTTAGCTGATTTATTACCATCTTTTAAACAAATATGAAAAAGCTTAACTGACACCGTGTTGTGCCTTCTGAGTAATAAAGTCACTCCAATCAAAAATCTAACCAGAAACCCTGAGTAAATTAGATTTTTAAAAAAGTCTAGAGCACACAGAACAAATTGGCCTTAGAAAATTGACCTGATGAATGACCATGTCACAGTACAGCCCAAAAATCCTTCTAATATGGAGCTGGGTATCTGTATTGTGTCCAGCTAAAAACCCAGGATATATTGCAAAGGGAGAAAGGAGTGAGGGAGGGGATGGAGGAAGGAAGAGAGAAGGAGGAAAACAGAAAAAAAAAAAAAAAAAAAAAAGTAGATTTAAGAAATACCACAAAAAAAGTGGAAAATAAAAAATGCTGGGGGCAGGGCATCAGCAAAAGTATATTAAAGCTAAAGATTCAGTTTTAGTTATCTAATAGCTACTTAATCGTTTCCAAGAACAACCACAAGAAAATAAATTTTACTGATGTTGTTTCACAATTCCTCTGTCATCATGTGGAGAACATCTGAAATTGGGCAGAAATGGTCCCTCAAATGGGGGGGGGGGGGGGAGAAGTACTCTGATAGAGGAGGGTGATTTGTTGCTTCTTTGGGAGGGATGGGGTAGGGGGTTGAGGCAGAATCTATCAATGCTGTGAAAAAACTGCTGAGCTTGATACTTAAAGTCTGTGAGCATAAACTTGAGTTCCTTAAAGGGTAACTATGTTAAAAGACATTCCCCTGCTCAGTAAAAGTGTAAGCAGATAAAAAGCACACACAGAGGATGCTCCCTGCTCATAAGGATTCTTTATATTAATGATCAGAGTCTATTGCCAAATAGATGCAGCAACACTTCTGTCTTTGAACACTGCATCCTAATTTTTGAATGAATAACTAAATCTATGCCTCAACTGCTTTCTCCTAATCACTAATCCCCTCTGGAACCTGAAACACACAAACAGCTTCTGTGGTTAGCCAGCTACTCTGTGACAGCTTCAGAAGCAGTGCACTCAGTCTGAATTTTCATCCTAAAGTACCTTATTGGGACTACAGTGATAAAACTGTTCTCATCGAGACAGACATCCACCACAACTTCTTCTAAAGAAAGTATGCATGCACTGTGTTAGAGGTTGAAATATCAGGGATGAAACATACCCACTAACTCAATGTTTTAACAGAACAGCTAGAAATCATTCTTTGCAATAAAGACAGCACAAAAAGGGCTAATAGATATAACTACAAACTACTCAGATGGAAGGCCATTCTCATTTTCTCTGGAAATACATAAAATGAGGAAATATTAAAGAATACTCTTACTGATTGTCTTGACACGCGATTCCCTTCCACTTCTGGCTATCCCAAAGACATCCTCCCACATCAACGTTAACCTCTTTGATAGTTAAGTCATGCCACCAGCAACAGTGAATAAAGGTTACTCAATTTTATGTGTTTAAAACCAGCAAACAATGACACCGTAACATCTTAGAAGGTATAAACAGAAGATTTACTGATCCAGTACTGATCCAATGTTAATTGCTTACCTTGCGAATACTCTGTCTTTGTTTGCTCTTTCTTTACCATACTGTACAGACTGGACCTCTGTTCTCCCACTAGAAAACAAAACAAGAAATATTAAACGCCACCAAGTTAGGATATCAATTTCCTGCTTAAAACTGAACCATCTCAACAAAAAGTCCTAAATCCTACTTCCAGTCATGCTCAAGCAATCGCACTAGCATTAATACAGTCCCAGTTTAGACAGCAGTTGGTTAAGTATAAGTCTTCTTTCACATTAGAGTGTAGCTGTAACAAAGACCAATTAACATTAGGCATAACAAAAGCCTTCTCTTTTCATCCTTCTTCTATCCAAAGCAACAAGCAAGTTCTGCTTGTATCTTTTGGATAACACTCCAGACTATAATCTTTCCTGTTGTAGCCACAATGAAAAGTAATGGCATCTCCTCTGTACTTCTCCTAGACTATTCCCTGAATTGTCAAAAACTTAGTTGCTACTTAGTTTAGCAAAATATCATTAAGAAATTAGATAAGCACATCAGGATTCTATTCTGCTACACAATTTATCAAATACAAACTAAGAACTTGGAACTTGCTGACTCTTCATTTAAGACCAGATGTTCTGTGTCAAATCCCTCATATTTCGTAATTTGTTCTGGAAAACAATGCAGTGTTCGTGTCTATCAGAAGTTAAGCATTGGTGTCTAGGGTCCAGCAAAAACTCTCCTTGTAACCACTTTCTCCTTTATTACTTCATATCATGGCACAGCCAGAGAATGCATATACACGACCTAAAAGGATAGCAAAATTACATTGCTGCTCTTCTCTGTCCGTTATAGGGACATTTACATTGATATGACATCAAAGAATAATTAGTCTTTTTCATATCCACATTACAGACCTAATACAGCGTTAAATACAATATAATTAGGAAATAAGATGGTAAGCACTTTAGGTTTGAATCTTGTACACCAGATATAAAAGCCAGAATTAGAAACTGGAGCTAGATGGAAACATCCCTCTACCCCAGGCAATGCCCAGTAGCAGCTGCTTTTAGGGAAAGAGTATAAAGAACGAGTCAAACAAAAGATTTCTCTCCCCATATATACTCCAGCTTCATATATCTCCCCATATATACTCCAGTCCAGACAGTGGACCTTCCAAGTCTGATACTGGTCTGTGTTGTGATTGGGAGCAAGACTTTCCATCTGTTTTCTATGTGCTTTTTGGAATTCATTTAGATTTCTAGGCTCCACAACATCCTTTGGAAAGAATTTCAGAATCCACCTAATGAATGTGTAAAGGATGGAGAAATGGGCCAACAGGAACCTCATGAAATTCAGTAGAGAGAAATGCAATGACCTGCACCTGGCAAGGAACAACCCTTGCAACAGACCAGGGGCCAACTGGCTGGAAAGCGGGTTTACTCAACACTGGTGAGACCACATCTGGAGAGATGTGTCCACTTCTGGGCTCCACGGGACAAGAGACGCACGGACATACTGGAGTGAGTCAAGCAAAGGGGTCATGAAGGCAATTAAAGGTCTGGAGCATCTGATGCATGGTGAGGCTAAGAGAACAGGCTGTTCAACCTCAAGAAGAGAAGGCTCAGAAGAATCAAATCAACTTGTATAAATAAATGAGTACTGGGGGAGTAAAGACAACAAACACACTCTTCTCAGGACAAGAGGTAGTGGGAACAATTGAAACATGGGAAATTCTACTTAAACAGAATTACAAAACAAAAGACAACAACAGTAACAAAACACAAACCTTTTTTACTGTAGCTTTTTTTTTTTTTTTTCCAAGAAATCTCACACTGTATTTGCACTGCCTCCTACTAATAATTCATTCAATGTTTTCAGAGAACTACACACAAAGCTTCAAGACAGGAATAGCTTATTTATATAATTGACGTTCCTCCTCTCTCTTCCTATATACATTATTTTGCATTTTTTGGACGTTCAACTTTAGCTGCCGTTTTATTGCCTACTCATTCTTCACTGTGACATACCAAATAATCTTTCTCTAGTCATCTTAACTTTTTACTACAAAACCGCATATGACTGGGAACTTCCCTTCGTTATGAAAATTGGACCTAATTGTTGTTTCCCACCTCGTTAAATCAGTTGCTAATATACAAGAAAGCTCCGTGCTCTGTTTGGCAGCTTAACTTCATCAACTAGGCGTTGGTAAGGAACACAGTGAGTGCCACTTTGACAATAAAAGGACAGTGTACAGAAGTCAGATTTTCTCATCAGTAGTCTTTTTGATCCCTCCTGGAAGTTTGTTGGGTTTTTGTTGTTTTTTAAAACTTTAAAATTTGCTGCATTAGAACCTTTTAGTCCAATAACTAATTACATAAAATATTTAATAGTTCAACAATTTCATACCCCTGATTTCTTTCAGAAGTGGAGATAACTCTGTCTAGCCCTGGCAGTTCAGAATTTTATTAGTTCATTTTAATTACAGAAATGCTGGCTAGGAGGCTCTAGTCTAACCTGCTAACACTAAATCTTGTCTGGCCATGGTTTTTGTCTAGCCAAGTTCTGAAAGTTTCCAAAAACAGAGATTCCACAACCTCTCTGGGTAACTTGTTCCAGTAATGAACTACTCAACCAGCAAAAACAAAAAAAATAAAACAAACAAATGAACGCGTCCAATTTGAATCTTCAAGGCAAATGTGTAACGTCCTTGTTGTATCACCAGCACAGGTTTGGTTCCATCATTTCTGAAACTGACCTTGAATTAGCTCTAGGCTTATTACCAAAGCCTCCCTTAGCCTCCTCTTCAACAGATTAAACAAGCCCAGTGCCCTTAACCTCTCCTTGTGTGCCATGTTACTACTATTATGCTGTCTCTAAACAAGCTCTCAAACTACGTGCAGAAATTCTAGCCTTTTGGCTGCTTCATTAACTTTAATGACCTTTCTCATTTTTATACAGTTTCCCTTTTCATCTTACATTAACATAAGTTGAATGTCATCATCAAAGAGCTATTCTGCTACAGCAACCATGATGATTCAAATTCAGAATCTTTACAGAAATGAAAAAGCTCCCCCAGATTCATGACAGTAACACTGAAACCAGTCTCAAATACAGTTCAGGATCGCAGAATGCTGTTTCTCAAATGGATGCTGTGAACGCTGGTCAAAGAAACAGATGGTATAAAATTTAGCCTCTCAATTACTTTCCTTTTTATACATTTATGCAATTCACAAGTGTAACAGAAATAGCCCATTATTGTGCTTCCTAGCTTTTCATCATCTCCCTTTGTACGTCACAGACACTGTTGCCATTCTAGACAGCTGATTAGTAGTAGCTCTATTACTCCCTAGTTTAGGCACAATTTAAACCATAGGCATTCTGCCTCACTTGCAGAGACAGTTAACCCAGTTACTTTACTTAGCTTGTTTTTTTTTTTTTTCTTTTAAAACATAAAACACTTTGAAAAACCATACCATTCACTGGCATTACAATACAAATCATATTTGGGAATTACAGTTATGCCTCTTTCATTCTTCGTGCTTTTTGCCTATTATATCAATTTCATCCTTAAAAATTATGGATTTCATTCCACCCTTATTTTCTAAACTTCTGCTTCTGGTGCCGAGCATACATGTTTTTGTCTTCATCTAGTTGCTTATTTGTATGCATCTTGCTTAAGTGGGCTTTACTTGTACAAGCTTCACTTCACTGATTTTTATTTGATCTTTATTTAGGTCTGTTTTGTTGCTGTTGCTGCATGCAGGATCTGAGATCCATCAGCTTTCAAAAACACCAGGCCAAACACTTTGAAGTTCTGAAACAACATTTTTTTAGAAAGAAAAAAAAAAGATAAACATAACCCAGCAGGTAGGCAGGCAAAGAAATGCAGCCTGAGAGACAGCTACAAAGTATTAGCTTGATAATAACTGCTAATATAACAATTGCGTTTTCAAATTATTTCAGAAAATTACTGACTCATGCCAAGAAGTGAGAGGAACAGTTGCAGGATTCAAAAGCCATTTGAACGATGACACTGTTTAACCTAAATTCTAGGTAATTCCCTGTGTTTATTTATGAGTTACCTGTTCTTTTATGTTTTCCCATATATTTCAAACAAACCAGCACTTACCAGTACCGGAACTTTGAACCCAAAGTGAAATAATGTGCAAAGAAGTTCTTTTGAGGGGGGAGCGGTCTGTCCAAACGGAAGAACGTGTGATGTTCAACACAAGCTTTCCATAAATTCTTACACGCTCGGTAGTTCACCATATTGAAACCCAGTAATGTTTCTCTAGATTCATGCTAGAAGTGGGAAAAAAAAAAGGGTTTCAGATAATTATTCACAGTTACATTTGAAATAAAGATAAACACAATTTGCATTTTAAAAATATATTATTTTTGAAGAGGTTCTCTAATTTTACATTAACTTTATATATTATAAGCCCTTTTTTAAAAAAAAAAAAAAAAAAGAAAGAAAAAAAAGAAGGGGGGTGGGAAGGCTCTTAAGAGTTTTCTTTAAAGGCATTTTTAAGTCTGTAGCCATTTTATTTATTTATTTATTTTTAAATGAGCCTGTCCGAAGGTTAACATACTGTTCAGTGTTGAAACAAGTCTAGATGGGATGAAACGGTTTCAAAAGGCAGGACCCAAACTGCATCAATAAACTCCTGTGACCAGAGAACTCAAAGGCAACATTTCAAGATTTCTACAGTTGAGATTAAGAATTTAATTCTCAAGAACAATTAATAAATTAGTAAATTGGGTTCCTACTAAAGGAAAGACAAGCAAAGTTGCAAAGCAAGCTCAGCTATTCTGCCTGTTGAGGGAGCTTGATTACAAACTTTATAGGCCAGAAAACATCAGCACACTGCTTTCTTTTCACATTACTAAATCTTCTGCAATATTTAGCATACTTTCATTGCTTTTAGTTTGCAGTAAACCCCTTTTCTAACTCTAATTTTGCTGGACTGCTCACTTTCAGATTTGCTGAGATACTGGGGCACAGACCCAGCACTGTTCAAGCAGTGTTGTATCTGGGAAGTCAGTAGGACTAATGGCTAAGAAAGACACTGTGCTTTCTGTCACACGATGAATTTAGAGTAAAGAATAAACCGGATTATAAAAGTAAACAGCAAATTATAAATATCTACTGATGAAATTCAATAAATTATAGGCAATAAACTAAAAACTGATCATGTACATCATGATCTGTACAGTTAAAAAAGGCTTTCCCCAAAATCAAAATATATAACAACATTATAAGCAAAATACATTTCTATCCTACAAGACAGTATCTTTATATAAATTATGGCTTGCATCGTCAAGATCCAAAGGATGAACCAGCTAAGGTTTTAGATCCCAACAAAGTTCTTATGACGTAGCAAATTCTAGTGCTCTGTCAGCTTTTTACATTCTTGGAAAAGAGAGTTTGACAAGTTATGTGAACTGATGACCGTGCATTTTTCATGTCACTCTTAAAGCACTATAATTATGGGTTGGGGAAAAAAAATCCTGCTGTTCTCCCTAGTTTATATTCCAGAGAATGAGCTGATCTGGTTCTCATGTCACCATCTGATCACCACATCAGACATGAAGCATGAAGGAGGAGCTGGTAAGCATGATGAGAAGGAGCTGCAGCTAGATCAGCTTAATTGTAATGCGAAACAGCACTTTCACAGGAACTTGGCGTGTTAGAGCTTTAAAGGTACCTTAACAATAGTTCTATTCATAGCTTCTAAAGCTTTCATTGCAGCGCAGAGAGAAAGGATTCTCAGACCCTGCCCTTCATTTCAGCTACAGCCAGGAATCAATCTTTAGGGTAAAGAAGAATATAAGATACGGGTCCCTAAGCGCACCAATGCTGTTCCTATCTGCCCTCACAGGTTCTCTATAAGTTGGGCGCTTGAAACTTATCTTTGCTGATGCTGCTAGGGTGCAGGCCCCAGTTCTGCTGCTGACTGGTAGCAGGACTTAGAGCAGATTACCCTGGTTTTCCCTGAAGAACAATAGGCCTGGATCAATTTGGGCTCAGAACAAGGTCCCAGGACCACATTTGTTAATGTTGGTAATTCAGCCAAAAGCATTAAAATAACACAAGGGTTATAAAAACATTCTTAGGGGCTGCATTATAGTGTGAGGCTCAGGGAAGATGCCGAATGCTCTGTGAGATGTCAGAGATATTTCAGGGTTGTAGGTCTGTTGAGACAGTGTTAGAAGACTACCCCAGGGAGTCACAGTTGGGTTCTCATCTGAAATAACTACCTCACTAATTGTGCCCGTGGTTCCTATTAGAGAGAGGAAACCAGTTAGCTTGCTCAGGGGGGGAACAGGGAAGCAGTTGGGATGCAATACAGGTGATCAGAGGCTCAGGGCCTGCGGGTGAAACCATAGGGGAGGCAAATACCATGTAAATTCATTTAAATCATAACCTTTAAAATGCACACTGTGTGTCAGGTTACCTATACTATCTAAGAAGAAACACTGGAAAGAAAAGCGCAAAGTGAAGTCTAAACCATGTTTGTGAAGCCTTTTATTAGAAGACAAAAAATAAATAAAAAAAAGCAGCATGGATGTTGCTGTGCCTCTTGCATACAGCAGCTTAGTCCCTGAACATTTGCCTTGGGTAGCAACATTCAAACCCACCTTTGCTTGATTTGAGGTATGGACTTAAAAGCAGATCTCTTACTGCTCAGGAGAGAAAGTGAATTAGAAAAAAATAAATTCTCCAGTGGGTCTCCTTCCCTTTTCCTAAACAAAGAAATACCCCAGGACAAAGCAGTAACTCCCCACCCCCATCTCCGAGAGAACAAAGACTAGCACTTTATAAGCAGATGCCCCAGAGAGTTGAGATATTCCTTCTTCCACAAACAGTAGACAAAAGTCCTGTGAAAGCTTAAAATGTAACACAGATTGTGCCAGTAGTATCAGCTATTCATTCAACCCAATGGCAAAAACTTAGATAGGATTAGGAAACAATCGGCTCGGCATCTAACAAAAGCTGGTGTTACTTCAGTTCAAATATGTCTTTTGGCAGATAAACCCATATATCGCTTTGTGAATCTCGCCCAAGTTCTTTCTAAAAGTCAGGTGGGGCACAAATTTCAGAAACATGATGTATAATAAGGAAATTTTTGTTCATACACTGAAGCCAGGTCTCTGTCAGGGACAAAATCCATGATGCTGTTTTGTTACAAACTCGAGTAATTTATCAGTGGATATCTGGGCTCTAAAAGAACAAAGGAACACACTGAACTGCTTATTTGGCTGTCAAGAATAAAGACTACTAAAGTATGCTGGACAGCATCAGAAATTTGATGCTGACTGTTGCCATTACTGCAGCTAAGGGTGCAATCACCTAACACCGAAAAAACTACAGGAAACATCTAAAGAAATTAATATATACTGAATAATTCTTGAACAGCTTCAAAGTGTGCAAGAGAAGCAGCTTAAGGAACAGGCTGAATAAGCAAAAATACAGTGATGCAAAGTCCAGGGTAGAAAACAGCAACTGCAGTTACAGCTTAGAGGGCTTCCACTGTTGGGTGAAGAAATTGTACGTGTAACACTTCCCACCCCCCCCATCCTGCCCCAATCCTAAACAAAATGGAAAAGAAAATCTACTCCAGTGTGTGTGTGCTTCAGTTATATACTTGACAGACTACACAACCAACTTTAATTCAAGAATTTATTATACTACCACTGGAAAATCACTTTGACATTAAACTGCTTCATCTCACTTCCTGTAAATGATTTATTTAGAACACAGATATAATCTACTAAGAAGTAGTCAAATAATTCTTTACTTATGTTGATGCCTGTAAGCAATGCCAAGTCAGGGAATAAATGTAATAAGTGATTAAAAGATAAGGCGCTTGCACTTTCAAGGACAATTGCAATTAAAAGCTCTGAACACTCATTAGCAGTATTTGAAAAATACCTATTTCAGACTACTCAAAACCCATACAGTCTAGAAAAAAACACTGGAATTTTTTTTCTCCCAAGTTCACCATTTTAATACCCTATATAGCATCTCAGCTTTTCATTAGAATAAATATGGTTGCTTAGCTGTAAAATCTCATATTTACACACAACTTTGAAATATACCATCAACATGACACAAATGTGTTTTCACTGCTATACTGAAAACCCGTGCTTTTAAATAAACACTCTAAGTACTAGACCAGGGATATCTTACTTACAAAATGTGTAATCGGACTTATTTCACCTTGTTTCTGCTACCAGAAAGGAGCCATTTAGCCTCCCTTTATTGTTAAAAAAGAAGGGAAAGGGAAAACAACTATACACCACCAGAGAACAACTTGACCCATCCTAAAACATGCTTCCAATTCATGCAACAAGTTTCACCCTTTGCCTGTATCCTGGTTACTACAGAGGAAGTTTAATGATTAGTTTTGGTACGCTAAATATTATGGAAGTATGTTTCTTTTAACCTAACTGAAGCTGAATGTAGGTGAGATGAATCTTATCCTCAGAGTCTACTCAGGGAAACTAACTCTGGAAATAACAATTTTAATATTAGATGTGATTAAGAAGTTTAAGTATGCCTTCTTTGGAAGCCAAATTTGAGCTTTGATCTTAAGATATTCATGACTTGGAATGAATGAAAATGAAGTTCTTGCCATCAATTTTCATCTGATACATAAAGAAGAACAGTATGAGACTTTTTAATTTGTTGCCTTAGATAAGATATCTCAGAAGAGAAATGACATTAGTTGCATATACCAACCCCATTCTGGTGCAAGTAGCAATATTCAGGGTATTAAAAAGCAACAGAAAGTACAAGATATGGAAGTTATCTTTATATTGCTTCCAATTATATGCAGAATTTTTTACATATTAAAGTTATATATCAAAACATAATTTGATCATTGGGCTGCCAGAAATCAGTTTGCCTTTGGGAACTTGCCTGTAGCTCCTCCCTGGTATTAAAAAAATCCTGTGTCACCATGATGAAATACTCCCCTTCCCCTTTCTGCATCATTACCATTTTTCTGCCTATATCAAGAGATACTTCCATTTATTTCATGTAATAGCCAAAGTTCACTTCTTTCCACACAATTTCTCCAAAACGCTTGTTTAACTCCCTCTAACTCCTGTTCCCATACTTCTGGGCTGATAGCTACTCCTGCTGCTCCAAGCACAAGTGTCAAACTTCTTCTGGCAGCTAATGTACGGCGTGTCTGTATTTAGGCAGTTCCATCTGTGAAGAACTTCAAACTCCCAGGACTCCTTCTAAAGGATCTCCTTTTACACAGTTCAACTCCTGGTTTCAATGCTCTTGCTGGTCACAAGCCATTGGCCTGTTCTGATGTAACAGCTGTTTCTTCCTTCCCTTTTTGTTGTTTAACCATATTGCCTCTGAATCTGGAACAGTCCTATAACACTGAGGGATGCATTTCTCCCCAGAACCTCTTTTTTTATCCAGTTAGCAACTCTGCACTTTAGGTCTTCAAATCTTTTCAGCTGTAAGTAAGAACTGTACAAAACCTCCTAACTAATCTGATGAGTTAATCACATAGCCATATTTTTAATTAATTTTTCCCCCAGTGATATGTCTGTAAGGGTTTAGATTCTTATCTCTTGGAGGCATGCACCAATCCATTTCTTGCCAAATTAAATGCTCAATGGTCCTGTGGTGCTTCATATGGTAGCAAACAAACTCCACAAGTAGAAAAACATACATATTTTTCACATAAAGCTTCAATTTTCTTCTAACAAATAGAGAATTATGCATAAAACAATTACCATACGTAATTTTAAACTGCAAAGACATTCTTCTCTTCCATTTAAATATAAGCAATAAAGCCGACTTGTATTACAGAATCAGAGTAATACAAATCAGCATGTTTTAATCAAACACTTACAAGCAGATATACAAGTGAAGCAGCATTAAGTACTGCCTTTAATTCTAACTCGCTTTCTTCTGAAATTTAAATATAGTATTGATTTACTTTCAACCTTTGCATTATATAAGCAATCATTATTCCCTGCATACAAATGTAAAACTAAGTATTTAGGCAAACCAAATGAAAGAAGTCTTATAAAACATTGTGATGGCCCATTTGACAATGAAAATAACCAGGAATTGGATGAAAATGGAGTTCCAATTGTAGTTAAAGGCAAGAACCAACATAGTATCAAATACAGACATGCAGTATTGAGAAATTTCATTGCTCATTTTTGAGACCAAATTTAAAACAGTACTCACCAATTCCTTCCTAAGTTGAATAAAAAACTGCTTGCACTTGAAAGAAATTTTTACAATCTTCAACCTAAATGAAAAATAAAACCAGAATATTTAAACACTTAATGTACTGCATCATGGTTAAAGGCTTAAATATACCTACTGAAAATATACTTTCTAGAGGACAGATTTCATTTCATTACCATGAAATTTCTATATACAGAAATAAGAGATTAAAGATTATATAAAGTAACTTGTATTATTTGAAATTAGTAAGCCATATATCTAAATTACCTATCAAATTTACTTATTTCTATCCTAAATGCAAGGCAGTTGCTCAATTTTGTATTTTCCCAGCTCCTAAACCCAAAGAGCTATTCTATCTTCAAGTCATCCCAATCTGAAATCCTCTTTTTTGAGACCTCTTTTGTTATACTTTAGAATTAAAAACAAAAATCATACACACAACCTATCAACTCCATCTGATTCCTGAAAGACATTATTTCTCTATGTTCTTCCTCATCTCAAGATATAACCAGAAATTGTTAAATAGTAAAATATCTGGGACAAGGTATAAGCATGAAGATAAGGAAAAAAGGCAAACAAAAAGGGAAACAAAAACAGCAAAAAGCCCACCACACCGTAAGCAGGAATAGCCATTTGAAATATTGCATCACAGGAAAAATCAGCCTACAGATATTTTCATCTTGTAGATTGTCTATAAACATGTGAGATGCTGACAATAATTCCAGACAATTTTGGATGGCCAGTTTAAAGCTAATTATGCTAAATGGTAAAAGGTAAGTCATATTTCCACCATAACCTAATTATATACTTTTAAAAAAAAAAATACTTGGATTGTGCATATCCTTTGTTTAATTTACATGAATATTATTTTGGTCAAGAATAAAAGCAATGTTACAATTGTAACAAGAAAAAGCAGCAACTTTTTTTTGTGGTGAATCTGAAAAGGAATATTCAGTGTGATACTGCAAACTGTAAGATGCTCAATTCCAACATTGTCTCACTCAAACCTGATTTCACTGACAATTTTAATGAAACTCAGAGCAAAAGAGAATCTGGATAAGAGTTAGATTTTGGTAAATTGTATAGCAAACTCTTCAGAGGTTACAGTTAACCTGTTACACTGCACATTTATACAGAGCACTGTTACTAATCTGAACTGATAGTCTCTCCACTTCAAGTTATTATATTAGCTTAGTAAAGCTACCAAGGAAAAAAAAAATTATGACAGTGAAGATGGTGCTACAATTTGTTAGATGAACTTATTCCTTAAGAACATAGAGGAAACCTCAGAAACTGCTGGAATTACTACTTGCATATTGAATAAAAAATCTCTATATTGGAAAAGATGAGGAGCCAAATATTAACAGACACCTAAAATAGAGACAATTATATATAATATATAGAAAATATAAATTTTCTTAACATAGCCAAATGAAGACATTTTTCTCCAGCACGTTATTCACAGCAGGAACCAAATGTGGATGTCCTAATCTGTAGAGAGACACTCTCTCAACAATAATATAGAGGAGGTATATGGTTTATGGCCTTTAAATTGTGCTTGCATCTGTTTTTTTCTTTCCTAATTGTGCTATTAGGAAAAAAAGTTATAATTTTGTCCTGTGATTTTTTTTTTTCTTGGTGGAGCGGTTGTTGCTGTTTTTTAATTATTAATAGAACATTGCAATTGGAACTTGTCGTGATCTGTAAAAGGGGCTACCACTTATCTATTGAAATCAAACAATTTCATTGGGAATGCAGCAATTTTCTTAGCAACTATGACAAACAAGGCCCTAAATTTGGTACAGGTCCTAAATTTGCTGAATGGGATAGCCACTAGTCATAGATAGTCATAGCATTCCAACTGTGGAAATAGATAAAGACATTAACTACTACCTAAATAGTCTAATATAACCAAAAGCATGTTACAATCAATTTTCTAAAATTTTGGGGTACAGTACAATTTCAGGAACATTTTAATACACATCTTTTTCAAAAACTGAACTGTGCATGCTTTACAGCAGATCAGATTTGCTTAGCATGCTAACAGACTGAAAAGAAATGCAAATTATTCTACCATCATTTACTCTTTTTTCCTCTTCTGCTAAGAAAATGACTTCCTCTGATCACTCACAGAAAATGAAAAGGTGAAAGCTACACTCCTCCCCCTTTCCCCCCCTCCCCCCCAACCTTTTTTTTTTTTTTTTTTTTTAACCCTACTCCATAATTCAAACAGAGTGAGCTCAGCTGGCTGTTAAGCCTGAAACCACTAGGAAGAGACTCAGGATTGTAACATTTACCAATAAGGTCTAACTCAATCCCTAAGAGACACCTGAACTCAGAACTCCAGTAGGCAAAATCCCTTGGAGGTTTTCTTGCAGCGAATGGGAACTGAGGAAGGAGGCCACCCTTCAAGGACAATCTCAATGCAGAACAACCCCGATGTGCTAGAGTACAAGCAGGCATGGGAGGAGGCCAGCTTGGCTGGATGCGGAACTTCAAACACAAAAGGGAAGTATACAGAAGGTGGCAGCAGGATCAGACTACCAAGGAAGAACACAGAAGTGTTCCCTAGGCATTCAGGGATATAACAAGGAAGGCCAAAGCTCAACTGGAGTTGAAAGTGGCAATGTTAAAAAGGGAAAGCTTTCCAGGGAAGCATTCAGTAAGAGAGAGACAAAGGGAAGTGCATCTCCACTGTACAGCAGGTATCTAGTAACAAATGACAGGCTAAGGCAGGTACTGAACACTTTCCTCCTTTGGTCTTCAAGGACATCTGCTCCCTGGATTCCCAGCTCTCTGTATCTGGTAGCATGGTTTGGGAAAAAGAGGAACTACCCACAATACAAGAAAATCAGCTTAGGATAGACTAGATAAAAGGCAGTCTCCTTGATTTTGTCTTATACTTGCCTAGTCTCCCTCCTCTCTTCTCCCCACGATCCCTGCTTATAAAGATTGCATTATGTAATTTAGACACAGTATTAAATTGAGTGGACCTTTGGAAAGGTAAGAGGCATATTACTGAGCCATACTGTAAGAACTGACATTGCAGACCTTTACTCATAGCAAAAGAAAGCCTATGGTACGATAAAACTGTGTATGTGCACACAAGTGGGGGGCAGGGTGTATTTTTTTTCCCCAATTTATTTTTCTTTTGTAAAGACCAATTATGTTGGTACTACAGCCTTCCCAGGAAGAAATTAATAACCCTGATGTCAGCTGATATGGCTGAATACAAAGAAGAACTGTTTAGGTAATTACACACACACAAACCACACTAAGAATTTAGATCAGCATCCCCGGCATGCAAACGATATGAAACAGTTCACAGAAACCTCTAGCTTCCAGTAGGGACTTGCAGCTTAATTATGATTTACATTGTACATACTCAGTAATTTACTAGCATGCTGTATAGAACCTATTTCTACTATTACTGTTTCCCTCCCCAAAAAACAGCAGTAAAAGCAGCCTGGATTAAAAACATCCTGATTATTACAGCACTGCATTTATAAAGCAGCCTTAACCCAGAAATACCCCTAACACTTCAGAACTCTTGGAAATGAAGGGTTTCTTTCTTATAACAAGTTGCTATTATAAAGGTAGGTCTGACTATCACAGTAGTCCCAGACTTAACATTGCAAGATCCAGTTTTCATTTACCAGACTAACCATGGAGATTGAAAATGTAAACGCTGTGTTTGCCTCAGGCTTACTTTTCTTTAAATGCTTAGAGGCAATATGTTTACTGTGTTTAATTATATCTGTTTGTGGAGAATGCTTTTGTCCATAGCTCGTTGTGTTTATCTGCTAAAATTTGATCATTCACACTGCTTCTCAACACAGTAAACCCCAAATTAAATAACATCCTACAACAAAACTTGAGATTAAGCTAAACACTGAAAAAACAAGTGTCTCAGAAGTTCAGTGGGTTGAAGAAAAGATGTCATCATCATTTTGAATGTCTGCAAGAAAGCTTACTAAGTGAAAATAAGTCACTGACTACAGGTAATGGATCTTACCATACACTAAGAGGAAACAACAATCAAACAAGAATTTCAGGTGCCCATATCAGCTGGAATTCAGAGAAAAGCTTTTTCCAGTTTCAGCTGGGGTAATCAATTTAATCTGTTTATATGAAGATGAACTTCAGAAAATTCCAATGCTATATTGCCTAAGAACACAGATCATCAGCAAATGAAAACATGAAATGTTTTCTAATACGAAAAGCTCTTGTGCCTGGTAAACTCATGTCTATTACAATGATTCTATATGGCTGACAGCCCACTCAGATCTTGATTATAGTATGTACAGGGAAGTATGTAGTGAGAAGGACTGTAAGAGCAAATTCAAAGCAGGCAAAGGAATCTAAGGGGAAGTTACTTCTTAGGGATGCAAAAAAAGGCTTTGGGGAAGGTGACAAACTTGGGTAAAGCACTAGTGTGATGTAACGAAATAGGATTTCTCTTCGATCTTTCCCCTTCTGACATGAATAAGTAAAAACAAGATCCCAATTTAAGAGACTGATGATCTCATCATGTTAACTTGTTTACTGAGGGTAACTCCATGCTTACATAACAGAACAGCTTTACAATCTATTTTACTTCAGAGAAGTGACAGCCTTTTCTTCGATAAATGCACTTTTTGAACTTTATTGTGAAAATGGCTATCTGTGGATGAAGGGAAAACAGTATCTCTGAATGCTACTCTTCAGTTATCCTCAAATAATATATCTAAGCTAAATTTAACACAGGAAGCACAATTAAATTATATGTGATGAAACGGATCACAGCAAACACTTTTCAGGTTAAGATTTGTAAGTTTAGTGGTCCCTTGAAACAATAACCTAGAATAAAGTTGACATTACCGTAACACTGGCTATACAGTTGATTAAACAAAGTACGCTTACAAACTCATAAAGAAGTATTAAAATTAATTATATTTTGCACCACAATCACTTAACAGCACAGCATGCAGAACAGGACAAAAACCCATCATAAATTATCCATTGCACAGCATGAGGTAAATCATTTCACCTTGAGATATTGTAATTAAGTTTCAGTCTTCTTTAGAGCATGTGACACTGACAGTGGTAAAAATATGTTTTGAAATACCAAACAAAAGCACTAGTTTAAACAGTTATCCTTACCATGGAAAGGTGTTAATTCGTACTCTGTTCTTAAAAATTAGTATTCCACCTGACATCACTCCAATCATTATTTCATTGTTACTCTGATCCTTCAAAAGAGAAAAGAGACAATGGTTTGAAAAACAATATAAACATCTTTGAAATCTCATATATATATTCATTCTCATCTCTCTCTCTCTAAACACAAAAAACACAATAGCAAAATAGAACTTGATTTACATGGAAGGAAACGTGTTTTAGTAAGATGAGTAGGAATTACATTATTCCCTCCTAATTCGAACAAGCCCGTATGTTTGCTCTAAGCCCTTTATAAACTACCACAGAATTTTAATTTTCTAAGTTAGATCTTCCATCTTCCTCCAACATTGAAGAAACAAAAATATAGAGTATTTTAGCAGCTTATTATGAATAACAGCACTAATAGATTGGCTTGGCGTTTGCTATACTAAAAGCAACCAGCGACTTAAATTCCTACCTGAAAGGAAATTGCAATCTCAGAACACAGAGAGGAGAGATTCTAAAACAAATAATATTGTAAGCATATTTAAACAGCACATTTTCCCTCAAATATTTATGCACTCTAATCAAATGCCTGCTACAGGTCTCTCAACACAGGTGCAAAAATAGGAAGATAGAGACAGTAGTGAAGTGCAGTACTTATCACATTATGCTGCATACTTCTCTAACATTAGGGAGTTAGACAAGAATATTTAAAAAAGAGCTGTCTTATTTACTAAAAACGATTACATTCAGTCTTTGGAGAAATAGTAGCACTGTCATGGCAAGTTGTTTCAAGATCTCAAGCTACCTGCCTTACCAGATAAAACTATTTCACTGTACTTATTACGAAGAAGTAAGCTACTAGGTTTCCACACACACTCAATTATTCTTCATGATCAGACTTTTCATTTAAAAGCCCTGGTTTCAGATGTATATCCTTCATAATTTTAACCTCTATTTCATTTTTGAATTTACAGCGGAAGGATAGGTAGTGATTTGTTTTCACATTACACTTCACGTTATATACGTTACGCGCTACATATCACATCAAATTATAGTACATTCACCTTACATGGTAGATCACATTATATACAGATAATGATCCGTAGCTCAGTTCTAATCTGAACCAAATAAAATATACTTAAAAGATGACAGATCCTTAAGTATCAAAAGCACGTTTCAACAAGTACATTTTTCTTTTTCACCAGTAACCAACCAAACTGGCATTCAGGTTGAACCTCAATAACGCACACAAACTAAGCCCAAATTAAAGCAAACAAGTAATCACTGAATTGTTTAGGTTGGAAAACACCTTTAAGAGCATAGCAACTGTTGAAATTGCTAAACTGCATTTAAGCAGATTATAATATAATTTCATTTTTTTCTCCTGAAAACAGCAGCCAGGGAAGACTCACTAAAATATATATATTACCACATAAATATCCAAGGAATCCACTTTTACATTACAATGCTAGCTGATCCAAACTTACCCTTGCATAGTGCAATTCAACTCCATAAAGTTCTAAGGTACGTGCTGTATTGAGATAATTGAACTCTGCTTCTGCAGGAGACAGCCCTCTGAAAGAAAGAAGCTAAATAAGAAACATTCAAATATACCCCCCACATCAGGCTCTTTATTGAGCTCAAATACAAAATATGCATCAGCTTTACTAGTTCTTCCCCCACCCAGAATTCTGAATTTCCTTTCTCACCATAAGCAGACTGCAATCCAAAAATTTTAACTGGTGCTTCCAGTGTCTTGAAAAGAGACTGCAACACACTGTTTGCAAATGCACTTATTTATTTATTTATTTATTTATTTATTTCTAATGCATTGTATTGTTTAAATGTCTGTGAAGCTCTGGAATCTGGAAATTACTTTTGCAATTCCGTATTTTGCATTGATAATAGCAATCTCTCCATAACACTCACCTTCAAACTTTAAATTATCATCAACCTACTTGAATTTTATTTACTCTACTTAACTGGATTTGCTAAGCCATTAACTGAAATGTAAAACAACATTCAGTAGTTTTTAAACTATAGCTTATCTTTTGTTAAATTTTACTGTAAGAACAAAGTGCCTCAGTTCTAAAATGCCAAGGAGCTATCAATGAAAGAAATACTGTTGAACATTACACATTGAGAAAAATGTATTTTCCATTGCTTCATTGCCTTTTCCTCTTTAGGAAAAAGTCAAGGAATTGCGAACAGGAAAGACCAGACATTGGAGAAAAGGACTTGTTTTTTACTTCTGAAGTGACTCTAATGTACTGGTAAGAGCACCATGAAAACAAGGCCTTTATGCATTCTCAAGAACTGAATAACACTTTTAAAGTAACTGTATCCTGCTAAGTTAATATCTTATGTAATACACACACAATTTTCAGTGCACCTTTACCATGTTCATTTACTCACTAATATGCCTTCTTATTCTAACAGATGCGTTCCATCTCTGCAGAGCATCAATGGTACTTATTATACAGACATTCTACAAAAAATATCACATTCACATAGAGAATTTTTTAACAGAAACCTTTAAGACAAAATACTCAGTTTTTATGTAATAGCACAGCACCAGCAGTCAGGATTTGACCAAGTCAGTCAATATCTTCTGCTGTAAATCCTTACATGTGCTGCTGATGTAATTTTGCTATTTCTTTTTCAAAGTCTTGAGGCTGGCTAGGGATGAAAGAATAGTCTGAGAGGTAGCCTGGCAAGTTTTCTGAATGGTTGTAGTCTCCCAGCTCGGCTAAAATATTAAAAAGAGAGGTTATTGTTTATCAGTGATGTACTTGGCATTGTGCAATGCCCCCAAATTCACACAAGTCTGCTCCCACATACTTTATGTTCTACAGCAAATTAAAATATATTAGACATTTTAGCTCCCCTTTTCCCTTTGAATAGCGTCACATTCTCATTGAGTGCTGTGGAAATCATTCAAAAAGAGCTCTGAGTGGGTGTTTACGCAGGAAGTTTATGAAGTGTTTAATTTCTAATGCACAAATTAAATTCATAAATGCTCTTATAATGATGAGTATTAAATAATACACTTCAAGGTATCGCAGGTACTAGCTTTTTTCTTTCTTTTTTTTTTTTTTAACCTTTGCTTATTTTGATATGATTGTGTTTTGTTTTGTTTTTTAAACTTTGCAACTGCTATTTCTTCACTTTGGAAGCTCTGCTAAAACAACTACACCAAGATATATTCAGAAGCATTAGAAAAAAAATTTTTTGTACAATTGTATGCATACATACACCTACAATGTTTATTTGAAACTACTAAAAAGCGTATTTACATAATTTCTAACACATCCTTAAAAGCCTAAGTAAATCAAAATCACATTTACTGTCAGAATAAATTAAAAAAAAAAACACACAACTTGCTGAAACTACAGACTTAGAGTTTTTTTTGTTTTTTTTTTTTTTTTTAAACTGTAATCCAAAAATAAATCCAGCTGTAAGCGTCTGCAATCCATCTAACAGATTTACAGTAATAAGTAACATAACATGTGAAAATTGGAAAGTTCATAGCAACCTAGCATGGTGTGGGGTCCTGGGAAGGCCTACTGATGATTTGTGGGGTATGGAAAAACTGACAATGGGAGGGATGAAGGAGAGGAGCGAGAAGATAAGCAAGGGAAGCAAAGGCAGGAAAGTAGTCTGGGGCATTTGCATTACCAGAGACTGATCCTATTAAAAATGATTTCAAAACTGGAAAATGTGACCAGACTTTGTAACCAAGTGCAATTCTTACTAAAATACGCTACAAGTGTATTTTATATAATAATATATATTTTGCAAGGGTGGCTAAGGTCTATGGCTGCTGTTTACAAATAAAGAATTCTAAGACCTAAACCCAAAGAGAGTTTAGTAACAGGCATGCACAGAAAACCATTAGACAGATCTGAACACTGCAAAACTTAAGGACAGCAAGATCTTGCATGTAAATGTTAACTACAAGGCACAATGCATACCCGCTACTACTACATTATTTTAAAAAGAAACATTTTTTTCTTAGAAGATTAAAACATTATAAACTTTTCATAGTGTCTGCTTCATTATCAAAATCTTTTCTAAGGCAAAATGCTAAGTTATGACTTTTATTTTTCTGATAGCATTTACACTACATATTTTTTCTAGCAGCTGCAGTTTGGTGTTTTCTGAAAGAGAAATTGCTCTGCTGATTGATCTGGAAAAAGGCAAGCAACTTTTCACCACTTATCAAAACTGCACATAATATTTTACATTAACATTACCATGTATTTTTTTCCCTGAAAAAATCATCATGGACTATTTCTCTGATATGTAAGAAGTACAAAATGTAAATATAACACAGGAATACAGATGGATATATGAGGCCTGCATATAAAACAGATTCTGACAATCACAATTTCCAAGAACTAAGGGTTGAATATCTTAGATTCCTTCCATTGAACAGTTTAGGTTTTATGGAAGGAAAACAGGGAGAAAGGAAGACGACAATCTCAGTCTTCTAGACATAATTACCCACTGATGGGTAGTTAAAACTGGTAACACAGGTGTTGAACTATTTGGTCAGATATGAGCAGAACTTACTTCACACTCATTTGGAGGTTCACTTTACAGCATAAAACATGCAAGTGTCTAAATACTGCTTTAGTATGACTCAAAAACATATACATGTATATCAAATCACACTTCAGAATGCAGAGAAAGGCAACGGATTTGTTTGTTTGTTTTTTAACTGCATGGGTTTAAAGAAGGAAAACTGAGAGCTATTAGTATTTCTCTCTAATGCAGCAGAATCTTCTGGGGGAGAAAAAACAACCAGCCAGATTTCTTTAATAATGAGAAACATCATGTTATGTCCACAAATATGATGATATACAAACTACATTCTTTAGAAACTAAACTATCCAGTGCTACATTTTTTACGTATCTCAGGACTTACATATATACAAATACTTCATTATACTTACATTGAACAGCATAGGAAGCCAGAAGAGCAGCAGTATTATATGGACAGGGCAATCTGTTTTGTTTTTAGAAGAAAACCAAATGAAATTATGTACTTCATATGAAACAGTTATTTTGAAAAGCCTAATCTTTCATAATCTATCAATGCACAAGCTGGACAGGTAACTATTATAAATGCTTCTATTTGCATAAATGTTATTTTTAAACATTTTTTATTTTTGTCTATATAATTTATGATTAACTTAACAATGTTTTGTCAAAGTTTCATGCTATATTTAACATAACAAAAATGTCTTACCTTCCAGTAAGAATGTCCTGTTTAATTTGCAAAAAATACTGGTACCTTATTAAAAAACAGAACAGAAATTAAAAATCATTTAGTTTTTCATTAGTTTAGTGCATTTTGTTTCCAGTTAGCACAAAGCTAAACCTTTACACTTTGCATGCTATTTCTTAAACTCTTACAGGAAAGAAATTAAACTGTGATTAGTAATATAGTACAACTTTGTAAATTAAACTATTTACAGGCTAGTAGTTACTGTATAATGATATTATATGTATTTCACCAGTATATTGACAAATTCACATTTTACCCATTTTATTTGATGGTACTTCGGTTCAGTTTAAAATTAAAAAAAAAAAAAAAGAGCCTTCATGATGACTAAGTGTAACAATAGAACAATTCAGCACACAAGCCAAAAGTCAAAGATGGCATCTATATACACTGCTAACTTAATAAGTATGCTTTATACTCCAGGTAGATAAAAAGCGTTAGTTTATTCTCATCAAATATTTGACATTACTTGGTTTTCATTTAGACTAAACTAATTAGTCTCAGTATTTTGGCATCACATTCTTAAATAACAGTTGTGGATTTTATTATGTTAAAAGCCTTCTAGAAGTCTTTTGACTTCCCTTGAACTTCTGTTCTGAAGGTTTTTTTTTTTTAATTATGATGTGAGAAAAGCTTGTTTTAGAAGTTCTTCTACTCTTCACATGCACACTCTTTCAAGTAAGGAAGGAGATGGGAACAGCAAAAGGAGCAGACTAACACTTTAAACTAAGGACTACTTTCAACCAAATGTTAGCAGCAGAAACTCTGTAACTTAAAAACAAAACAAAACAAAAAAAAAAAAAAGAAACCTGAACCTTCCCAGTGAGTGGAAAATTTTAACATCGTTCCTGTCTTCTTATAAATTTATTAAGTTTTGGAACATCCTACATCATTATTACAAAAACTAGCCATTTTCCTTCTGTAGTTCTGCTTTGGAAGTACTGTTAGCCACACTTGCTCATCATAAACATTCAACAATTACGTATCAAAAATACTCACTTTAAGTCTGACTAAAACCAAACATTAAATATTTTCCAATATTAACTTGCACTAAGAAGTTCAAAACAATATATATCCCTATTATATATCATATGATTTCTCATAATTGTTTAGACTAAGATTCAGCGTAGTCTTCAGAAACTGGTTACTACTTTGAAGACTTTCACAAACATTTACAAATACATACAGAAATCAAGTCATTTACAAGCTAAATTTAGTGAAAGGTAAAACATTTCACATTTGAAATAGTATCAGGAAAATACTTGCAAACTGATAAGCAAAGATGTTAGCTCCTGTATGCTCAACTCTTACAAAACCTTCTAGAGGATCCTGGACCTCTAGGAATGGCAACAAGCTTTGTTTCTGGTATTAACCCTAAGAAGTTAAAACTGAGACACTAGACAGGCTTTAGAGAACTCAAAATACTTTCTCATTTTGCATCTTAGAATGCACATTGATACAAAAAAAAAAAAAAAAGAAACAGATGAAGCAAATTTATTCACCTATTAAAGAAACGTAAATCAATACTTCCCACTGTTAACATTCATGGCTGTACAAACATGGAAAAATTCTGCATGTGCAGATGCATTTTTTATTTTTTACTTTTTGTGAAAGGCATTATTAGAAATATGCCATGGTACTTAATGGACCTGATGATTAACGAATGCCAATCAGAGTTCATTTTCTGTCCACTGTTTTCAGTGAACAGTGAAGTTAATTGCTTGTTAGCTAACCACCCCAGTTCAAACACTGGTGTCTTGCACATTATAAAGCAAAATGGGAAATCAATAGAAGCTGTATTAATGTAGACCTGAAAATCTGTACAACAAATTCAGCTAAACCAATTAAGAAGGCTTTGATTGCATTACAATGTTTTCATCTTCCTTAAATATAGGGAAAAGGATAAGACAGAATTATTGTTAACTGGAGTCATTGTTAATAAAGAGGTTGTCCTGCGATGAGCAGAACTAATGAAGCTTCATCTCCTATCAATGTAAGTTCTTAAAGCTAAACCCTCCAACACAAGCTGAGCTCCCACTGACCCTTTTCTGACCTGAGGCATTCATAACCTGCCTCCCCCTCACAAATTCTCAGAGGCCTAATTTAAAGATATGAGCCTGCACTGAACCTTTCCAATCTATTCGTATTGCCTCATGTTAGCTCATTCTTCTTTTTTTCCATGAAATTTATAAAAACTGAGTACTTTTTGAGAAGTCTCATCATGAATGAAAACTCAAAAGCACGGGCTTTGTTTCTTCCCGTTTCTGGTGGCTTTTTTTCCATTTGTTTTGTTTTTGTTGGTTGGTTTTGTTTTAAGAGGGGAACTGCTGATTACATGAAAGGACCACATGTCAGTGACAAGGCATCCTAATTTCACTACAAAAACCCCATGGATAATGGCATTCTCTTTATAATAATTCCAAATATAAATGAGTTTTCTCAGGGGCAATTAGGCCTATTAGCTAAAAAGGCAAAGCTGACCCAGATACGGCAATCCTACATTACTTCTTACCTAAATGGCTGCTGTATTTATAGCAGCACTGTATTTACAGCATAACATTTATGTAAACAGTTGTCTTTTTTCTTTACTGTTTGCTTGATATAGATAAGCATTTGCTGTTTTTTAATTTCCTTAGTAATATTTTATATTGCCCTTCAATCCAAATTACATATTTTTCATTCCTCTAATATAGTATATTGCAAAATTCTCTGACTAAATATTTCAATAAAACAAAGACTAATCCGGGGCTCATTTTTGTAAATTCTGACTACATAAATGTGTACAAATTTTTGTTAAAAATTTGACAAAACCAACGTTATAAACAAATATGGAGCCAAATTTTCACAGTTTCAGTGCTTAGGTTTCTAAAGCTATCTTTAATAATTTAGATATTGAACAGAGCTGACCTGTTTTCAGAATGGCTGACATCCAAAAATTGCAATCTGTCAAATCACACCACTTATGTAGAAGAGTAGAACTAATACTGAAAACATGAGGCATTTCTTCAGGAGCTATCTGCAACTCAAAAACCTCCTAACTGGATTCACACTGAGCATTTTCTTCAGCAAACTTCAACACGTTGCTAGCAAAATGAGCTCACATCATTCAAGCTAAGACTACAAATATATGAACAGAGATGAACTTATTAGTGCCAGGCAGAAAACTGGAGAAAAAAATGCAGAAAGCTCAGGATTTTTTTAATCATAAAGGAGAACACAATTAAGGATAAAATTAAATTTTGCTCACTGATAAATTGCAGGATTAAGTTTTTCCCTTCTTTTATTTTCTCTTTCCTGTTCCTACTTTATAGTATTTTCTTTATGCAGTTACTTAATTTTGCATATATATTTGTAAATTTATTCATAGAGGTTTTTTTGTTATGTTGATTTGGTGCAACTGCATAGTTCCTGCCTGTAATTATCAGACAAAAATTAGAAGCCTGCATATACTACACATAAAAATGCTACAAGAAAATTTACGTGTTATACCTTTAAAAAAAAAAAGTTTTCCCCTTAGACATAAACCTTCTAGAAAAATATGTCATTGATGAATTAACTAGACCTACCTTGTATATTCTTCTTGGAGCTTGTTTGGATCACTTACAAAAAACTTAACTCTCAAGTTCAAACTGTGAGGAGATCCTCCTATGGTCAAGGAAAGTATTTCTAATTAATCAAGGCACCTTGAAAAAACATCATTATAATGATGTATGAATTGTCCAAATACATATACGTACTCACTTTTTAATTGTTTCCTGATAGGTTTGTTTGGATCCAACCACCTCTGGAAAGAGATAAATTATAACACTAATTTTAGAGAAACAAAAAAGCACTAATTATAGCCATATGTATCAGGAACCGTTGTAATTTTGTTATTTTTTATTTGGTCTTTTACCAAAACATCCTATTGGCATACAGAGTATTACCATAGACTCTGGAAAAACACCAACATTATCATGAGCAGTTGCTAGTCTTCTCTACTTGAGATTAATCTCTGCTCTCCAGGTATCTGTCTGTTATAGTATTAGGACAACTACAACATGGTCATTGTCACCTGTACCTGACAGAGGTTAGAACTCAGTTAGGGTATGTTTAACCATCTGTAGCAATTCTTTAAACTGATTATCTCATGCAAACTAACTGTGGCAGTGAAAAGCAAAGGTTAATTTACTGTCCTCGGAAGTTAATTTGCTTAAATCAGTTCATGTTCCTTCTAACTCTGCAGTTTGCAGGTCTGACACATCCAGAGTGATCTCACTGGCTCACAGATTCTCCTCCAATTGTCAGAGTCAACTCTGCAACATCCCTAATTATGATCTTGTAAATCAATCTTGTACGCAGCCTACTTAACTACTGGATTAAGGACTACAGAACATTTTTACCAACCTTGATCGTCTCTATGGGAGAATACTGCTTTGGTATATTCACCCATCGTATATGCAGATCTTTATAAAGTCAATGCTGCAACTTTCAGAGAGAAGTGTGGTTCTTAGGAAAGCCCTACAAGATATTTGAACAGCTCCCTCTACCACCCCAGCAGACCCTGTACCAACGTACTTTAGCTAACTTATACCTTCACTTCTGATAAATACCATTTCGTTCCTCATCCTGCCTTGGAATGCAAGCCCACAAGCCCCAGGAACCAGCTGCATGGCCACAGATCCCTCATGTGAACCACAGAGTCCAAGTCGTGTATGGCACACAACTACCTCAAACTTACCACCCCCCTTTGGAGGAAGCAAACAGACTTGAAATATTTGATACACACTACAGATCTCAAGTTAGTTCGGTCATTTCATTTGTTGGGAATACAAAATAATGCTGACCAGATCCAAATGTGGTATCCTTCTAGCAGATGGCTTGAGAAGAACATGATTAAAAACACTTGAGTATCTTTAAACAGGGGTTTTGATTCAATATATCTGATAAATACATAGATCTGACTGATAATCCTCTGACTTTTTTTTCTCTAAGAAATACTGCTTGAGATTATAGTTAATCCAGAAAACCTGGAATTTAAATGCTTAGCAGAAAAGCTTGCGTTCGCTTCCTTTTGGTTGCAAAAAATCAATTTGGAATGTACTAATATAGCTTAAACCACAGAAGAGTAACTTTTTTTTTTTTAAACTGTATTTAACAAGCAATATCCATGCTTCACATGATATAACTGGATCCAAACATAAAACGTGAGAGACTGCAAAGCATTAAATCACTTAACAGAATAAGAAGCTGAAGCTGATACGGTTCAGGCAAAACTAACAGAAGTTTATGGGTCAAGGTGATGGTAGCAAGAAGCGTTATCCGACGTGGTTCAGACTTGCTAGCAGGTCTGAGGGGTAGGAATACCTGGGATCCCCTCTTCCCAAGGCTGCTCCAGGCCCCCACAACCAGCCACAGCACTCCGCTGTAGAAAGCATCAATGCTTCCTGTGTTGATCTGTGCTAGGAAATGAGCTTTATACAAATACATAAAGCTTGGGTAGTTTATGCAATTCGCATTTAGACACAGTGATAGAGGTTTCACACTCAATTGGCAGAATTCTCTTTTTTCCCCCCGTCAGTTTTGTGTCCTGCAGCATTTCAGTATCCTAGTAATATTCCAGTGTGTTATTACACATGTAACTGCAGTATTTGACAATCCAATCTGTTTCCTTTGCACAAATGAGCAAAGTGTAAAAGTAAGCTGATATCAAAACCCAGAATTAATCAAACCCATAAATCTTCAGCTTAGACTACTAATAGTTGTAAAAATTTTATTTAGCTCTGACATATTTTGATGGCAAGTAGATAGTTGCTGAAAAGCCAAATATTTTAGAAGGAATATTAAGCTGTTAAAGCATGTGCTTGTATCAACTATCTGTGAAGTCCCTCTTCTTTTGGAATAACTATTAGTATCTATTAGCGTTGTGTTCAACTACTTCCAGACAGACAAACTAAAAAAAATGTTTAGAGTTCTAAGCCTTGTAATGCCAGGTAAGTGTGAATAAGAAACACTAAGTTTCTTAATGTTGAATAAAATATTCAATGGTGTTAAATTAAAGGCATTTTAATCAAAGCTGAAAAATAATTTAGGTTTTTCTACAGTGTGACTTTGGCTTTTTAGCCTTGGAACAAAGTTTAGATTGATAAAATTAAATTATGGCTGTCCTGCCAATGTCATAATAGAACCATATATGAAGTTACAAAAGAAAACTCCATTAAATATCTACAGTGTGTTACGTTGCTGATTTATAAAGTTTCAATGCTATGGAATTTCCTTTCAATTAAAGCGCATCAACTATTACCAAAACTTAGTTTCAGAAGAGTCCCTTTCTTTATCTGTTATGGTGATGAGCCGACAGCTGCTGTTACATCGTGAACAACACAAAATGTGATTTAAAGCCCTGCAAGTGCCTTGGCTAGAAAAGAAATCACCTTACAGGATAATGAAAACACACCCAAATGTTACTTGTTATCCCAGCTGATGATGATCATGCCACCCAATAACTAGATAAAACAAAACAGACAATGTCCCTTTAACGTATGATTTCATGAGCACAAGTCTCACCATTTCACTTGTAACTACAAGGTGATACTGACTCTTTACAGTGTCCCAGATCACAGTGATGCTCATCTAAACTCCATCACTTCTGGAGTCCCCTATTTCCACTTCAAGAGAGAACATTCATTAGAATCCCCCATTTGGGGGAGGGAATACAATGCTACTGATATCTGGGATCAGTTGTATTTATTTATTTAAGTTTTGCAGCCATGCATAATACTGGTTATAGGGCATGGAAATGTAATAGCCAATTCAAATTTAACTGAAATAATGCTAGCTGAAGCAGAGCTGTACTTCAAGAGCTACATTTCCATTTCAATCATGCAATCACTTTGATCAAAGTAAACTCTTCGAATCCTATTTAATACCTTACTAAATCTACACAAGCAATACATCATAAGCTTCAGAAATGCCTCTTGAATTCAGAATAACAGGTATGTTTACATAGTACAAAGAAAGGATTCTAACAGCAGAAGACTGATGTTTAAAACAGAAGACCCTGTGGTTTGGATGAGTGCAGGGGGCTGAATGCAAATCTCTGGAAGGTTTAACCACTTAAAAACAGACTTAATTCCAAATATTCCTTTCTCACAAATAAATCTAAGTAGTACATTTTGTACTTCTACTTGTTTAAAAACAGCTAGTAACTCTTCATGGAGTGATGCTCAAAAGGTCTACAAGCAGCATTTCCCATGGATGCATAGGTTAAATTTGTTTTTCTCATGGCAGAGATTAAAATAGATCAGTTTAAAAAACTGTAGCAATGACAAAAATTCACGGTTGAGTTAGACTCAGGTGACTTCATCTAACCCTGCAAAAAGATGCAATACTCGAAGAGCACCACCAAATGCACTACTTTTGCTTAAACACTGATTAAGCTCTCCATTTCTCACAAACCAAACATCACCCATCTTTCTTCCCGTTTCAACCTTCATCTACTTTAACATGCTGCTTGAATGCTGATTATTACCATATAATTAACTTGGATAGTTTTCACAACTGCCATTTAATTAATTCACTTGATCTGATTTGTTCATTATGCCAGCCTCCAGTGTTTCTACCACACATATATTACTATTTCCCTACTTCTGTCACTGTTCTCCCCTACCAGTGTTTCTCCCTAATTCTGTTTCTTAATTCTGCTCCACCTTCTAGTAGAAATACTATTCTAATTCTATGCCTCTCATCTACCAAATTAATCAATGAAAATACCATTCTCAAGTACATCAAATAACCATGTATTCAAATTGGTGCATTAAAAAAAATGGCTTAAGGAGCAAATAAAATATTCATGTGTTCTTTATTCATGAAATCACTCTTTTGAGAACATTCTGAAAACAAGCCCAACCAACAAGATTGAAGAGCATCTCCCATGTGAGAAGACAGCACACTTCATGGTATCATTTGTGTTCTTGTACAGGTAAATTCAGCAGTAGAAAAAAAGTAAAACTATTAAAATGTTATAATGTTTAAATAAATATTAATGTTAAATATTTTGCTATCATTATTGCAATGTTGTAAAAGAAGAACTTCAATTCATGGTTCAAGCAGGTGAGAAATAATATATATATATATTATATATAATCCTTTCTCCACTCTCAAGATTTTAATTTTGTTCCACATATTAGAATACAGCTGTCCAGGTGAGCAAATCAAAACTATTTCAAAAAGCTAAGAAACATCTTTTTCTTTTTTTTTTTTTTTTTTAATCCGGGAAAGAAAAAATATGTAGTACTTTTCAATGCACTGCAATCTATCAAAATAAACAAATTAAAATTTTAACAATTAAGTATCCTCTAAACAATAAAACATGATCCTTATATATATATTTAATGAATTAAAACTGTGATTTATAAAACAGATCCAACTTACAGGGTTATCAGTGGATTCATCAGCCAACTGTAAACCAAAGTAATCTCTCTCTGTCAAATCGAGATGCTTGAAGACTATATCCAATAGAACTTGTCCCTGATCATGTTTCTGCAGAGAACAAATATACGTATACACTGTTTAATGAACAAATATATAATTGGACACAAAAAGTTCATGCAGGTGAAGCACATACTTTCAGATGTGATCTAGCAGTCTAAATCATAAACGTCACAAAGACCATCCCAGCAGCACTATTTCTAAACAAGCTCTATCTCTCTTCTGAAACATATGTAAGGAATTATTTTTCCTCTGTCATGTTCTGACAGTAAGAACTTCTCACTTCTCAGCTAGCTACATGATTATTTCTGAAAGCTGTTCATTAACCAAATTTGATATTTAAAAGGATTACTGGAAAGCAAAAAGAAAGGAGAAAAGAGGGGTAGGATTTGACAAAGGACTTTCTAGTGTCATTTGGGTCACTGAATATAGAACGTTTTTCAGGCCCGCACAGTTTATTCTTACTTCTTGATCTGAAAATCTTCTCCTGAATCTAAATGAAACAGCATATTGAAAATGCTTCCACAGTTAAATGGCACAGACAGCTGAAGCAGACAAATACACAGCTGAGAAGCAGTGTCATTTAAGTATGTTCTCTTAAAGATACTTTAACTAATTCAAATAATCTGAACAGTAACATTTCTTTCCATAGACAAGTGGACAAACTTGATTTTTACTGCAGAGACAACTCTTACCCACAACACGATATAAAAAGAATCTGTGTGGTTGTGGGTACCTAGCAATTTTTTGCCTAACCTGAAAACATTGCCAAAACATAATTTAAAGGCTAAGTGTGACATTCTGACTAGACTCCATAAATACACTTGGTGAAATCTGAAGGATTTTCCCAAATAAGTTATGAGGTATCAGTAGCTTCTTGAAGCACAAAAGATGACGAAAAATTCTGCAAGCAAAGCTGTCAAACGAGAAACATGCTAAAAGATATGATTAATACATTTTCCACACAGATTTTCTACTTCTTTGGCACCAAGCAAGCTTCTAATGATGTTCTAGGTGCCAAGTATTATTGATGCTGCAGTGGATTTCAGATACATCTTGCCTTGTTTACTGTAGGTGATATTTTGAAAGAATAACAAAAATAGAAGACTCCTGCTCACAAATGACCTTGCTCCTCATAAGATGTTATAAAATAGGTTACTTTCACAGCAGCTGTATCTGAAATATATAGCTAAAAGGTCAGAAGGTTTTACTTAATATCTATAAACAAGAGAAACTCTACAAATCATATTCTGACAATTTGTTTACATCAAACAGCATACTAGCAATTATTTTTTGTTGTTGTTCAGCTGAAGTTACGCTGAAGCTGAGTAAAATCAGTCTAAACCTTTTATTTGGGGGCTAAAAGTTCCAAGAAATTTGATAATTTATTTCAGAATAATTATAAAAAAACAGAGAATAGTTATCGACCAATTATGTCTGAAATTTTGCCAGCAGGATAATCGTAACTGTAGCTCTGCCTATTTAAATTGAAGTTACATAAGATATGTATTTCATATATATTCATGTATAAGGCACATATATTCATTTATCTGGCTAAGTAAAAGTGACCTGTGAGTTGCTATATTTACAATAAGAAATGATCTTATTTTAAAACACAATCAGGGAAAAAAGATTTCTTAATGTTTAAGAAAATCTAACAGTGAATAAGTTTCAACATTATTAAAAGGTTCACTAGTAAAGAAAATTCATCTCCAATAAACAAGAACAAGCTAAAACCCACAGATGTTAACATAATAAGTACATGACAGCATAAGTGTATAAGGCATTTTTAATGTACAATTCCAAAAATAGTTACTTCCATTTTACTAAATTAGGAGTTTCTGATATATTTTGAAATAAACCAGTAATCAGTATAATTTTTTCAACAAATTAAACTAATTTTAAAATTACATAGCAACACTAATTGCTTCTTGGCATTTTTCCCTATGTAGATTTAAATCAGAACTCAAACTAAGTTATGAGAGTAATGATCAAAACAAGGGAGAGGTTTGGAACCCCAGTTCAGACTTACATTTAGTACAGCTAGCATGCAGGTTATCAGTTCTGTACTTTTTTTTATTTAACATTTAAAACCAAGAATTTATAGTTTCTTAAATATATAAATAAATGAATGTACAAAAAGTACTGAAAGCTTAGAACATGCTGATCAATTTTAATTTACAAGTATGAAATGTCATTTCATGACAGCAAGGAAGCTGGACCATTACTGGAGGTCCTGCTAGAAGGCAGAATGAATGAAAGGTATTTCTCCTGAAACAGAGCAGCAAGTTTGGTAAGAGGAGACGAGTTTCAACATGAAGCATTTGTTTTGATCACAATGTTTTACTCTCAGTGCAAAATAAAGATAAGCATCTAGTAAAACCAGACCTCAGTTTAACCCATCTTCGATATTTATATAATGATGTTGCAGCCTGCCAGAGCAGGTGAAGGTCACAATCCTGTTTGTTGTGTAAGGTCCAAAATATTTGTAATACTACCACAGTCACTGAATAGCTGCTATAAAATTAAAAAAAAAAAAAAGGCATGACAAGTATCTATTTTTGACTTTTTTTTAATAAAAAAATCAAAACCGATGTATGTGGTCTAGCATAAAAATAAATGTGGTTTATTCCTAAAGGTAAACATTATTATTTCTTCTTAAAAGAGAATAATGGAAAAATAAGTGGACAATAAAAAACATCTAATATAAAACTACCCACTGCAATTAGCTATTTCTCAACTGAGTGGTGAAGTCAGCTAGAAAGAACTTCATTACTTCATAGATGGATACAAAACATAGCAACATTTTTGCTAAGAATATTAGAATTTTATGCATACACATTATTAATAATCATATTAATAATCATTAAAGTCAAATGTCTTGTATTTTGGCATTTCAGAAAAAATCAACACTAGACATCAGTGTATAAACTGCAATCTACCACCCAGTGGCTAACATCCAGTACACGATACCGACATGGCAATTTTGATCACAAAAGGATTGTTACCTGGTTACAAACACCCTTCTTTGAAAAATTATCAAAACATCTACACTTACGTAGCTTTAATGCCTCCTTACCAATTATAATCGCCACCTTCCCAATTTATGTAACTGACATTCTGGTTTTGTAGCTGGCCAACACACCAGGATGCATTTACAACAAACGCCAGGAGATATTATTGCTGCCATGACAGATTTGGACTTCTCGTGGCAGAGGCTTGAATGGCAGGTACTTGGCCTTCCCAGGACTGCAGCAGAACCATGAAGGGGTCTGACAAATCCTGCTGCACACAGATTGAGAGTGCTCGTGCTCTTACTTTGCTAAGGACAGCACTGACACCCTTCCTCTCAGCTCACTGGTTTAATTCTGTTCCAACAAGCAAGCCCATTCCACAAAGAGGCAGAACTGCACCGCTGCCTCCTTTTATTCTATAGCTTAAATGAACTTTTAAAGCACTTAAAAAAAAATGTTTCCCAATGGGAGATTTACTTTTTCCTTTTTCTTTCTTTCAAAAGAAAACAACTGCAAATATTAACTTATTTGAGTACGTCACCTCTTCAATAGGCTATTGGAGTTTTTACTTGCATGAGAAGGACTCTGAGATGAAGCAAAGCATTTATTGGTGACAGCTAACCCACTAGCCTTGCTCACAGAACAATTCATTCCATCTATGTTGCCTTAGTTTTCTAAGGTGATCTCTTTGTACTGGCTTTTAGGAAATACTGCAAAGTCAGCTTGCACAGAAAAGAGACAACAAGGTATTTAAACAATTATATAAGTCAAAATAATTTGATCTTGAAGCAGGTTTATGCAAATCATTAACTCAAGTCATTCTCACTTCTTCCAGCTCTGCCTTTTACACCACATGCTTTCCAATGTGGAAGCAGAACTTCTGCACTTGGTAAGCAGAGCATTTTACAAAGAAAATTTCTGCTCCTCAAATATATGTACAGGTTAGTTCCAACTGATAATTTTGCCTGCAACCAAAATAACCTATGGCTAGCTACAGGCTGCAGGGATTATTTTATTTGATTTGTTACGCTCTATACAACGTAATGTTGAGCAAAAAGAAATTTTGCAGATCAATGGAAGAGGCTGGTTGAAATGTGAACATAAAACATGTCGTATAAATTATCAGGAGACATTGCCTGTGATCAGTATTTTGCTGTTGGAGGAGAAATATCATTTGAATACATTTTTATTAATACAACACTGCTCACTTCAGATGATTAAGCTTTACAACCATTAGCATACAGAATACCTATGGCAATCCCCAGGAGAAAGAAACCTTGCTAATTTACTTGATGTTATCTTTGTTCTTCCTAGTCTGAAAATAATTCCATTAATATTTATTGCCAAGTATTGTGTCAACCACAATAAAGTAAAACACAGCTATAAACCCTGAAAACCTTGGTTTGCATACATTTCCTATAATAGGTTACTTAAGAATTGTCGTAACTCCTCATATTTGAAAAACAGGGAAAAAAAAAAAACAACAGATTAAGGCTAAAACATTGGGTCAAAAGGGTGAGCACCAAGGAACTTTTTATTCCCTAATCTCAGTTTTAATAGACAAAACTTTCAGGCTGTTCTGTATAAGCAATAAATAGTGATCTGGGCAACTAAAATATTTAGTACACTAGGGTGGTTAGGAAGAATCTATTACACACTTCTCAGCAGAGCCAGAATAGATATTTGGGGATTCGTGACTGCTTGTTCTCCTCTACAAAGGCAATAGCATTCTCTTAAGAGACAAAGTTCTTGTATATCTGCATTAAAATGAATCATCGCTGCCCATAACTGTTGTACAATAACTATTCCTTATTTTAACTAACTTTTATAAAAAAATAAAATAAAAAAAAAACACCAACAAACTTCCATTCAAACACCTGTCTCGCAAACTTAAGCACCCAAAAGCAAAGAACATATTTACAGTTTCTCATGCACCTTTATTGCTTTGTCTTCAACCACATTCTGAGCACGCTATTTTTCAGCAGGCAGTATAGACCAGGAAACCGTTAGCAAGAATAAGAAGATGAGAAATACAGAAGAGCAATGAAATATTGTAGGAAAAAAGGATATAGGAGAGGTTACCCCAGAAAGGAGATGAGGCTTGAGGATGATACATTAAAACCTTCATCAGTCATACCTCTGCCTACCCCATCATGTAAGATTCCCACCTTTAACTTTTCAGGAGTTCAGAATAATGAAATAGCTCTTCTGAAAATGAAATGAAATGAAGTAACTGTTCTGAAATAGCTCCCAAATCAACTATAAAAATATCTTAAGAGAACATCCCAAAACCTTTTATTCCAATTGAACAATTTACTATTATAGTTGGAAGGATCCTCTACACTACTATGCAAAATAACCACCACGTCTACATTCTAAATCTTAATCCACTAGGCACTGGATCCTTGGACATTTCTGCTAGGTAACAGATTCTGTTACTCAGAGACCTGGAGGCTGCACAAGCTCAAATAACCTGATTACAAAGGAATGCAATCACTCTCACAAATCTTCCCCAAAACTTGCAAATTTATCATCCTACCTGAAGAGTGGACATCAAAATTCAATAGAATTATTGAGCATTGGAACTTTTCCAGATAGTCCAAATTAAACTTGCTCACATAGATTTGAAAACTGCTTCAGTTTCTCCCTCACCTTGTTGATGAAGTCCCACAGCCTTATCTGATATCATGCTACTCCGTCACTTCATTCACTGAATCATGCCACCTGTAACTTTTACCACAGTGTTGTTTACCATTTTTCTCCACAGAAGTTATCAGTTCTACAGCTATAAAGTAAAAGCTGGGTTCTGCTTTTACCCCCAGGAGACCCCACTGCTTCTTTCCTGTTGAGTTCTGATTCTTCTCAGAAAATGATCATTTTAAACGCTCTAATGTTTTCCTGTGAAATTCCAGGCTCATTTATAGAAGTAACTTTTCCTAGTAATAGCCCTCAACATGAATTTCCCTATCTTCCTTCCTGCCATTAGGAGGTAGTGTGTTTAAGTAAGGGAAATCACAAAACAAGAGAGAACACAATGCCAGAAAAGCAAAAACCAAAGGGATACTTTAACATGGTAACTGTAACGCAATAATAACCATCCACATGATTGAACATATTTAGTTACATAGTCAAAACAAGAGTTACTTTTATACTCATGTCCAAAATGAAAAAACACAACTGGCTAAAAGGAAAGCTTGCTTCTCATTCAACTGATTGGCAGTTGCCCTCCATTTTCGCTACACAGCTCTCGGTCCGTGAAGAAAATTACTAGAAATAAACTATTCTTTGTATATTGAATTTTGAAATTAAGATGTTAGTATCACAGAGGATGCCAGAATGACTAAGTCCACAGTGACTCAGGATGTACAAGTACAAGCATGCCCATCTGAACATAGCTTCCACTTCTATTCCACGCTTAACGCTGCTTTGGAAGTCAAACTCTAGCAACACAAGTGGAGCAAAGGAAAGCCAGCTCAGTGACATTGCAATAATCAAATTACTTACATTAACTCTGAAAGCTTGTACAGTGTTATCCAGGAGAAGAATGTTGCAGACCACCTCCGTATGCTGCCTGTCTCGTGCCAGCTCAGATGCTCGTACATTGTAGGTTCTGCCAGCAGGCAATCGGAAACGTGCGGTCATTACTGTCCACACAGAGTCTTTAGGCAAAACAAAAAAAACCACACACAATTAAAAAAAAAAATCAAAAAAATCAAAGGCAAGAACAGTACTCTGAAGAAAGTCAACACACAATGAATTCATTGTTAACATTTCCATTACATAGAAAAAAAAGGCACTAAATTCATGGAATCCAATACTGCCTTACAAATTACAACACAACCTTATCCCAAGAAAGTCAGTCCTTTACTGATTGTCCATTGTCCACTCCCTCCCTAAGTTGTCTCCTTTTTATTGTTTTTCTATTTAAAAAAGAGACTCCCAATATCAGAGGTAATTACGTAATTAATTTCAGTGCAAAACAGCAAAAAAAAAAAACTTACTCCAAAAATGTAGACAAACACAAAAACAGCAAACACACAAAGACTTTGAAGCATTATTCTGCAAGGCATGTGTGTTCAGTGTATAAGTATTAGACAAGAGAATGCAGTGATAAAAATACTAGCATTGCTTTGTATTACAGTATGAATAGGTAAAGGTTTGTCGAAATACTGAACCTTCCATCTAGGTCCATTTGATTGTATTTATGTATTTAGTTTGAAGAGAGAAACAGTTCTTATTTTCAAAGTAAAGAATTGGGATCAACACAAGCCTGTATCTTGGACTAAGTGCTGATAAACGAAATGCACGAGTTGAGATGTTACTGTCACGTTTCAAAACCGAGATTCTAATTGCTGCCCTGCTACCGTTGTCCAGCAAAGAGCTTATGTGCGTGCTTTCAGTATGCTGTTAGTCTTCTCCAACGGTAGCAGTTATATTCTTAAAACTTCGCAGAATCACTGCCTGCAATTCACTTAATTACACACTCAGACAACTATTTCTACATCCTTTGATAAGGGTGTAAGCAAAGCTTTCATAACTGAAGTAGAAAATATAAAGAAACAATAAATTATAATACCTTAAAAGTTAGTAAAATATTCTCAAAACTGATTACTAAAATAACTTCAAAAATGTTCACGGGTTTGCTTCCTAATTTTGGTGACACGTGTAGGTGTTTACCAATGAATAAAGGAGAATTTAGGAGAGGACAACAATTATCCCAGCTGCAAATAGAGTAGAGAACTTGCCTGGGTCACAACAGAATCCGTGTCCCAGTATACACAAATGAAAAGGTGTCACAAATAAATGATAAATCCCTTCCTAAAGTTAACAGCTTAGTTACTTAGGCTCTTGTGGGAAAGTGGAAGACCAAGATTCAAGCCAGTGAAATGGGAAGGGCTGGGATTTTGCAGTTCAGCCTTCTTCCCACTGCCTGCAGTCAACAATCCTGAGTGACTGCCCTGAAACTTACTGGGATATTTTGCTTTTCTAGAGTAGGTCTACAGCTCTTTCAAAAAGGCCACATATCTCAGACAAGAATTTTTTTTTTTTTTTTGATGAAATCCGTCCTTGCAAAAAGTATCCATTTTGACTTAATTCCAGTTACTATGACTTCACAACTGCAACAATGTCATTTTCATGCTTAATTACAGTAAACTTCTCTTAGTGTTGATAAACCAATTCAACAAACCAAGGATGGATAGAGACACCAGGTAAACACACCAGCTACAGGCTGAACTCATGACTTGCAATGATAAAAATCATGAAAAATGGTGTTGCAAACATTCAAACTCCAAAGCAAAAAGCCCAGCAAGAACATACGTGTCTGACAACTCATGAAGAAGCTGCTTCCACTCTACCATCTAACTTCTCAAATCTAAAAGGCAGAAGAAACCCTGAACAGATGCGACCAGGTAACTGAGCCTCCATATCAGTGATCTGAACCAACAACATAATATTTCATGAATAATATGTTATGCCCTGTTGACACCATCTAAAAGTCCATCACCTTCGTAGCTGCAACAATGTAAAAATCAGCATCTAAGAAATCTTTAACAGTGCAGCTACAAAACCAGTAACTCCAGCTGAGACTTTACAGTGGTTATTCACTTGTGAGCTGAATTTTTTTTTTTTTAAACCGTTTATCTACACCACAGAAATAACACTTTGACACACTTACTTTTACCAGGATTTCAACAAATCATAAATCAAACAAGACACAGTGAAGGTTAGCAGACTCCTTTCCTAAGGATACCAACACCAGTGCAAAAATAAGACTGTTCAGCTTACAAATATGTATTCCAGTCCACAAGAAACAATTTAATAGTGTGTTAGGAGACTCTGAACTCAACAACCCACAGTTTAGCACCAGAAACCACCATGATTTACAGGAACAAAGAGCTGTTCCTATAAAGCCTGCTGTTCTCTCCCTCTTTTTGTTCTCTTTGCTGATCAACACCAACAGTTCCTTCCTTCCTCATTACTGCCTTAAACCAGCCAGAAAGCAGCAATTCACCACAGCGAACAAGCAGAAAATCTGCCCTCAAAACCCTTTAAGACCAAGCAAACATTGCGTCCTTCGATGGACACAACCCACCCACCCAGCATGGATGTTGCTGTAACACTGATGATTTTCACTCCAACCAACCAAAACCATCGACCAGTTGCAGACAGTGACTCAAGCCTTCCTCCAATGTACAGAAATGAAATGGTCGAAGAACTCAAATGAGTTCTCTAGGGAAACAGAAACTGGATCAGGAAAGCTCACCTGGCTTGAAGACCTAGATGGCAGGGCCTCCTCATTCTCTCTAAGGAAGGAAGAACACAGGACACACGTATTGCTCCTCAACAACCTGGAGTTTATCATCTTCCTGGTGTGGAGCTCATGCTCACACCATAGCGGACACTAATTATTTGCAAACATTTTCATCTTGGTATTGAGCTTTCAAAGTCAGGCAATGAAGCAAGTCCAACACACAACATGTAGCAGCCTGAAGAGCCACCCATCTTGCATTACAGATTTCTGCCATCAAACTCAGAGACTTCTACAGCTACAGGACACAGTTTTAAGGCTAAGTATAAGAACAGAAATCCTGAAATACTTTGACAAAAGGGAAATATAACAGCCATGAAAGTAATAGAGAGGAAGGTGACAAAATACAGACTATTTTCTGCAAATGACATTCAAATGTACTCTTTCTCCACATGTCAGCAAAGAAACTATGCAAATGTGCAGGAATTACTTTAAAATGCCTTCACTATCACATGCACTTGGAAATATTCTTCCTTCTAATTTCTGTCAGGGCTACCACGCAACTGCTTTGTGGCCTATCATGTGAACACAAACCTTGTTTAAACCTCTGCCAGCATATGTACATACAAAAATGATGCAGCTGCTAAGCACGGTCAGACCTTGCACCTACCAGTCTTACTGTGACACTTGTTTTACAATATAGCTTGCTCCTAACCTTTTCCATATCATCTTTACTTCTCTTTTCTTCCAGAAATATACACCAGAAACACTAGTATTTTTCCTGAGCATCATTCTTGCTACACATTTTGAAAACACACTAGAAAAACAGTAAGATGACTGGCAATTACTCAATCACTTATGAGGCTATACATCATAACTATCTGATTTCCCAGCAAAAGATGGTATATAAAATGAGAAAACCGGTTAAAAGCTCAACTGCACTGGTTGTAGCCTTCTGAAGCAAAGACACATTACAGCTGAAGTTAGCATGCAACAGGTAAAGAAGCTGCAAAGTGAAATCCACAGACCTAAGAGAAGAGTTCAAGCAAAAGGTCAGAGTCAACCCGGAAAAGTCTCAGAATATCTGGTTCACACAACAGCCTAACCTGAGCAAGGTACTACTGTGTATGCACGTGCACGTCATGGACACGATCACGGCCTGTCACACTAAGTAAAATCTTTTTTTATATATATGCAAGTGGATTCATTAAATTGGATTTCAATTGGGTTAATCTTTGCATATGAAAAAGGTTTCTGGTTATAGTTTCTCAGCCTTCTGCTAAGCACGTAGCATTTAGACACTTGAATTAATAATCCAAAGCATGTGCTGCTACAGCAACTGGAGAAGGACAGAACTTGTGCAATGAAACTCCTCTTACCTCTCAGGTCTATGGAGGGAGTAAGTTGCACATTTCCTGCCTGAGCTCAGGTTTCAAGCGATGAAGCAATTCTAGGGAGTGTTCCCTATCAAAGGGCAGAACATTCCTGCGATACTTGCTTGGTTAGGGCATTAAAGAACATACAGAAGCTTCAAAAGTGAATTTTCAGCATCCTCTATTCTTTTATATAAAATATATAATAATGTAAAATGACTATTTGCTTGGGCTTACAATAAACTAACCAATTCTAAGCAGCTTAACAATTAAACAGTTGGTTAAGAAGATAATTAACTGAAATTCAGTTTACCCAAAAGTGCAACTATTTGCTGACTCAAAGTAAAAAGTTCTTTTAATGAGACTTAACATCATGTACTGTACACAAAGAGCTACCCTAGTAAGGTACAGTAGGCATGTGAGCTTGCAAGGACATGAGAAATTTTCATGGCTAATCTAAAGAACCTATTACATTGACAGATTAAGAACACAGCTTTTGGAATGGTTTCCAGTTTGTTTAGAAGCTGGTGTTTTAGCAACCCAGAAGACACCTATTTCCACTCTATAGCCCACCTGTTGATTTGGGTCCAACACATTACATGAATTGGCTACAATAGTTGGAAGAATAGGCCCATACCTTCATAATATGATGTAGTTTGATTGTATTAAATAGACTGCAGACCCTGTGGCTACTAGCATCACCCAGATAATCCAATTAATAGAAAAAAAATATTAAAAGCACAAAGAAAATCTTGAAGGTTTCTAAAACATATCACAACACGTGGCATTTCAAACACCAGGCTGTAACTCTTTTGTACTCACTTTCGTATACATTTACCAAGAATATGGTTAGTGAACTATATTAAATGTTTTAGACAAAAATGGTTAGAAAATACAAAACATTAGTTGATAGCCCATTATTTTGAGGAAAGTCCACATTAGCCCTAGGAGTAAAAGTTCAAATTTATCTTTCAAAAATTTACTTTGAAAGCTATCAACAATTCTGATATAGCACACAGCTACAGGGCATTCCTTA